AAAACCATGCCCAATATATGACAGCATCTGATGTTTGTTCATGCAATGACAGGCTGTGGTACAGCATCAGCCATCTACAATCAGGGGAAAAAGAAAGCTCTTGCTCTATTCCAGGAGAGGTCCAATTGGGATTGCTTGGATGTTTTCCTTCAATTTGGTAGTTCAAATGATGGCATTGCACAAGTTGGAGAGATGTTCATGCTTAAACTCTATGGAGCTGTGGACTCAACATCACTGGACGAACAACATGTACTTCAAGTCCATTCATCGAGCCTCTGTGTCCTCTTCAGGTTTCAAACTGGAATCACTTCCCCCGACTTCAGCAGCAGCCAAATTCCACAGCTACCGTGTGTACCATACGGTTCAGCGATGGCAAGGGAAAAAGCTTTCACCAACAGAGTGGGGATGGCAATTCAAGCATGGGGCCCTTGTTCCTATTGAGACAGATAGAGCAATTGCTCCAGAGAAAGTGTTGAAGATGATATCTTGTGGATGCAAGTTTGAGTGCAGGAGACCATGCAGTTGTTGAAGAGCAGGAATTGCCAAAATGTACTGTATTGGAGAATGAGATGTTGTGATTGACAAAAAGACCTTCTGATACATCAATCAAAGAGTAGAAGATTACAGTGAGTTTCAAAATTTACTAACTAAAAATGATGACATTGATAATTGTACAAGTGATTTACCATCAATATGGTGACCACAGCTGTCTTGATTAACCAACCATGAGTAGCCATTTTGACGTCTGGTACCAAAAGCACAAGCATATAAGGTTATCAGGTGTATGTGCGGTGTTAAAAGTAATATATTTAGACTCCTTGTGAGAGGGCTTTCTTTTAATATATAACAAGGTATGGTTAATTAAAAAGAAATATTTTCGTGAGATTATTTTGATTATTTTAAGGACAATGGTGGCCATTTTGAAATTGGCGGCCATTTTGAAAATGACACAAGGCATTATATCAATATATTTGGAATCCCTGTGAGATGAGCTTTCATTTGATATAACACATGGCATAATTATTTACAAAATATCTGTTTGCATAATCATTTTAATGATTTTGGCGGCCATCTTGAAATTGGCGGCCATTTTGAAAATGCCACAAGGTAGAATTTGCAGAACTTTGTATCTTGTACATGGCAATGATGTTCTGAAGCTTTCCTGAAAAATTCAGCTTTCTACTATTTTTTTCCAATGTCATGTCTAATGCTCCTGGCCTACTGATACTATCGGACGGTATGAAGGAACCCGGAGTTTCACGTCAGTGCCTAATGGTCCCGTCCCATGACTACAAACAGTTACTGCCTACCGATGTTGAGTGACTGTCTTTTAACATATCCATAATTAATTTAATATCCGAAGCATATCTTCATTTTCATTGCCGATTCATTCAAACGAAAACGCTGGGCACTAAAGACTCTCATTAAGTCAGATACGCTCGTTTCACAAATGAAATAAACAGTTTAAACACTACTATCGGATGTAGATATACTATTCTCAACTTGAAACTAAAAGTTACTTATATCCCGCTGAGAGTGGAGGAGACTGCGATGGAATTACCTCTTGTTCTAATTGTCGGGTGTTTCGGGATTGTGCGAAGTTGCCGTGATGTGGAATGGATAGTTCAATCTTCCGTCAAGTGGACACTTGGTGGACAAGAACGTGTGTCTGATGTGTCCAAAACGTTACTCCAATGCTTTAGTGGCTTGTCAACCATCAGAAGGTTGTGCTGGGTTCATGAAGAACAGTCTTTGCAAGAAACTAAAGTCTCTCGTTGCAGCGATAGGGAGGAACAGGTTGTTCAAGAGAAGGTTATTCCTTTACAGAAAGACGTGGCCATACATAAAAAGGACATTATAACTTATAGTAATGTCACTGGATTAACCGTGAGTAAGCAGGTCCTGTTTGGTGGAGCGTCTACCTTAACGCCAATGACAAAAAAACAGAAACCCGAAGTTCATTGTCTGTCAAGAAAGAAACTGAAAAAATTGTTCCAAACATGCAGAAAAATAACGGTCCATCCTTATTTCATAAACTGCGTGAAATTACTCACATTAAAAAAAACTTTTTACTTTAACCCAAAGGAATGATCTTTTCATGTTCGATTCAAGAAAAAAACGTTTTGTCCGAACTGGATTTCAACTCAAGAAATTAGGGGAAATACAGAGAATAGCATTTGATATTAGAAGGTCGATTACCTTTTACACCCGCACGAGGCGTTATTCAGAGCATTTGTTTCAACATAGATTGCCTGAAAATCACCAGAAACTCCCTGTAAAAGGAAAAATGATAAATTTTCAGGTTGTTGCTGATTATCAGTTTCTGGTTATAATGTCATCAACACGTCCTGGAGGTAAACTACTGACCTACAATTACAACAGCAGGAAGGTTGTTCCTTGGCTTGTGGAGAGAAGCTATACAGACGGTAATATTATTGTCAGCTCTAAAGAGAAAGTTGTGTATTTTGCCTCTCTTGTACATTCAACAGGAAGGTATAATTTAAAAAAGGTAAAATTCACAGCAGCCGGCGAGAGAGAAAGTGATGGCATTGAAAAAATCCCTTTTGGTATATTTTGGCCTTATTTTGACATTTTTGGAGGAAACTTTTATTTGTTCAGTAAAGGTAGGCTGATGATTATGAAAAAGGTATCTAAAGCCCAGCGCATGATAAAACTGCCACAAGGTCAGGGAATTCAATGCCATGCCGGCATGGCCACAGAAAAGACACTATTCGTTTTCTGCCCGGGGAATAGTTGTCCACGGTTTAATATCATGTGTGATATCTATATATACACCATCGACGGAAAGCACCCGAGAAGGATGAACCGTCCTATCGGAATGAGAGGACCAGTTTTCAGAATTTGAGCGAGTTCTACAAAATTCGTACTGAGCACCGAATTGTCCCTGCAGACTGAGGTGATTTTGGGGACGGAGGAGAGCCGAAAGTGGACCAGTTTCTCCAAATCCTTTCTGGGAGATAGGAACGGTTCTTTTTTAAAGTGATAGAATAACCAAAGATCCGATCCAGATACTTTTGTTCGGAAACGAATAGATTCAATGCTGCTATTACATTTTGACAATCCAAAAGAATTGTCTGTGAAATGTTTTGAATATTATTAAATCGTCTATGACACTTTTGCTTTTGTTTGTTCAATGGAAATAAGTTTTAAGTTGCTGTATATCATGACTGAGACAGCATCATCCATCCATCCTTTGGTACTTTGGTCTTTGTCTAAAATTCATCTTTAGTGTCTGAGGGAATGAAATCATCAAAACTGACTGACTGGCTGAGTGTCATGGCGGGGACACCAGAAATCTTCACACATTGTACCCATGTGGGGATTCGATCCGGTTCTTCGGCGTGACGAGTCAACGCTTTAACCATTAGGCTATCCCACCGCCCCCCATGCTAAAACTATTGTGTGACCTAAATTGCAAGGTCATGTCAATATTCTGCCGGACTATATTGGTAAATTGATTATCATCAAGGATCTGCTTCCATGGGAATTATTGTGCTGGTAATAATAAACCTCACCTTTTAGAAGACAATGCTACATCTTCACAATGCTTTGAAGTTTAAGGGTTACCATGACGTCACAATGAAATGACATCGCCAAGCCCAGAAACTGATTAGCTGTTATGTTCCCATTCATGACACTGGTTATTACTGTTTTGAATAATGACTTGGATGATAATTAGAATCTCTTCCTCGATATGATTTATATCAAGCCTCGGAGTTTGAAATCATATATTATTAAGCTACGAATGAATCACAAAACTGTGTGTTGTGATCGGTTGTACCTAGATCGGCACATGTTCGCAAAGCTGTGTACTGTGCACAAGTCCAACAGCTTTCCTGGCGACACTAGACGTTCTTAGTCTCCGGTCCTGAGACGAGAAGCAATAAATCGGGTGAATGAAACTTGGCTTCTTCGTGGAGCCACGCCGCCGCCAGAAACGTTGTGGTCTCCTACACATAAGGTCAAGGTCATTGCAGCTGTTGAACCTCCTCAGTTGCTGTCGCTGAAGGGGAAGTTGTGTGTACTGGTAGTACAGATGTGTACCCCAGGTAACGTACCCTACCGAATGATAATTAAACGGTACTAGCATCTGTATTGAAACTGGTTTTGAAAGAATAAATAAGTTGAATCCACAAGTGAACACTAATTGACACAACTAAATGCCTGGGACAAATTATGTGCCAAGATTCAACAGGTCTACAGCCCCAGCAGATGGATGCTGTTAAACCCATCATAGTAAGTGTTTCACATCGCACTGTGACCTTCAAAATGAAACTTCATCTGTTCACTCGATTGTCAAAATTTCAAAAATCCACAATTATGTTCTCTTCAACACATCAATACATACTTGTAACATCATCTTTCACTGTGAATGTATAGTATATTCCGTTTGGCTCAAAAGCGGACCGATGAATTGCAATCTAACTCGAAAACTAATAAACATAAAATACTCAATGAAACGCTGATCATAATCAAAACATCAGACCAACTCTGTGATTTGTTTGCAGAATTTATGTTCTAAAATAAAAAAAGTTGTTTAACAAACTATCATTAAAAATTTGACACAGTTCACTATTTGTTACGAGGGAGGAGTGCAGAGAAAGGGACAGCCAGGTGTTAGAGAAGCAAGTGCCGACGTTATTGATTCATTAACCTGTGATGTGCCGTCTCCATCCTTTCTCGCACACCTGGCTGTCCCTTTCTCTGCACTCCTCCCTCATAACAAATAGTGAACTGTGTCGATATTTTAATGATAGTTTGGTAAACAACTTTTTTATTTTTAGGACATAAATTCTGCAAAAACCTCACAGAGTTGGTCTGAGGTTTTGATTATGATCAGTGTTTCGTTGAGTATTTTATGTTTATTAGTTTTCGAGTTAGATTGCAATTCATCGGTCCGCTTTTGAGCCAAACGAACTATACATGTGTGCTTCAATTCTTGGAACGATACAAAGATAATGCAAAGGTATACAAACCAATTACTATTCACATGTTTATTTACAAATACATACAAATGTCATTGCTTCTTAACCAACAACGAATGTAGACATGTACTGACATGAAATGATACCATGATATGAGTGGCCATGACATAAGACTACATACTTTGGAGACAATATTATCACAATGGTTTCAATCATCTTCCAAAGACCATGGTGTCTTCTTCTGATGAACATCCTTAAAACAAAATGACCTTTTCAGTTTCTTGTCTGACCTTCAAATAGTTGAACATACTGACACCAGTTTTCCTTGAGAGTATAGGTCAGCACTAGTCCATCACCACACTTGGTTTTATGCTACTGGGAACAGCCTTTCTGTCAGATATCACAGTACGCCAGCTTAATATGTGCGGAAATCCCGAAGTGATGCCCGTCTTAGACATTAGGTAAAACGGGGTAGTCTAGTGGTTAAAGTGTTCGCTCGTCACACGCCAAAGACCCCACATGATTCCCAATGTTGTGAAGCCCATTTCTGGTGTCCCCACCGGGATATTGCTGGAATATTGCTGGAATATTGCTAAAAAAGCGGCGTAAAACCATACTCACTCACTCACTCATTAGGTAAAACAATACACCTGAGTTATGGTGCTAAAACGGCAAAGCTTGGATTCAAACCTATGGTCATAGATTACTGCCCTACCTAATATAACAAATACAGATAGACACGACCACCCATGACCTGACCATGAACCTTGACCTCTGCCATTCTCGCCATCCATTTATGTGTGTTCTATTTTCCATTCGGATAAGACTGAATAGTAAAAGATTGTTTGAGTCTACTCTTGGTTTCACTTGACTGTCATGCTGATAATCCGGACATCATCGTAAGGTTTGTCTGTCTTGGGATTGGTCTTGACGTTGCCCAGGTTCTCCACCACCTCGATACCCTTGAACACTCGCCCGAACACAGTATGCTTGTTGTCCAGCCAAGGCTGAAAGATGACCCAAAGACGAAACATGAAATGATAATATATTCAAACAATTTAAAATAATCTTGTTGCGTTGAGTCTAAATATTATTGCATCATCCTCATTCCATGGAGCAAAGATTATTGATGTGTAATGGCACTGAAAAAAAATGAAATACAGGAATTGGTATTATATATTGGGAACTGAAATGACAGTGATCGACACTGATTGAAGAAGTAGTTTGTACAAGTTGTGAATACAACATTGAACAGTACGGTGTTGAAGTCAGCCATTTTGTTGTAATGGCAAGGGAGATAACATTAACAATGGGAAACAAAACCACTTCCACATTTCAGGCATTTTGTAAATTTCACAGGGTACCATCACATTGAATGAATTTTTGTTTTCGTTTTAGTTTAAACTATACAAATAATAACAAAACTGCTGATGAAATTTTTAAAGAATTTACCAGAACACAGAAAAAAAAGATTCCAATATAGAAAAACTGCAGGATATTGGTAATGCCGCACAATCCTGCAAAACATGCTGCTCAGTTAGATTGGCATGTACTGAATCTCAAGGGGTTTTAGTTAAATTACTATTACCGTTGGAACTAGTGTGATGAAGAATTGAGAGCCGTTAGTGTTGGGTCCAGCATTGGCCATGCTCAATGTGTAGGGTCTGTCATGTCGTAGCTTTGGATGGAACTCATCTTCAAACTCTCCTCCCCAGATAGACTCTCCACCTGTTCCATTGCCTGTAATATATATAACAAGCTGTACAGCAGGCATCATCTCCTTGTGACTCTTCAGTATATTACAGTTATACAGAAAGCAGTGTGCCAGTATAGATCCACCTATACCACTGCATGTAATATACAATAAGTTGTACAGCAGGCATCATCTCCTTGTGACTCTTCAGCATGTAACAGTTGTACAGAATAATATAGTTCCAGTGTAGGTCCCTATGTACATTATCTGTAATATATAATAAGTTGTACAGAAGGCATCACCTGCTAGTGACTCTTCATTATATAACGGTTGAATAGAAAGTAGTGTGCCAGAATAGATCCTGATGCACCCCTGCCAGTACTATACAACAGATATGTTCTGTCATATCATTTGTACATAGAGGAGTATCTCCAGATACATCAGTTTGTAAATATTCCTTTGGGAAAAACAACAACAAAACTCCAACAAAATAGAGGTACAAATTAAACTGTAATGACACCATGTGTTTGCAAAAAAGTGAAAGCCATGTCCTGCCCCCAAACATCCCACTAACACAGTTGGCTCAAAACATATTTGTAATCTGTCGTCTCAAAGCATAATCTTTCAACCTACCTTGAGGATCTCCAGTTTGAACCATAAATCCTTTGATGACTCGATGGAAGACATGACCATTGAAGTAGCCATTCTTTGCATGAACACAGAAGTTTTCCACAGTTTTTGGACATCTAAAAATGAAAAAAAAAAATGTAAAGAAATTCAAGGATAATGTCCCTTATGAGTGGCACTGATATACTTTACTGATTCTAAAAAAACACTATCCACAATGCCTGGCTTCACAATCAGTTTGACAGAAATCAAGCGCTATATCTGAGTAACAAACATTTTGAACATTAAATGACATGCCCATGTGTTCCAACCAGCAGCCAAACCTTTCTCCCCTAATCATGTGTGTGTAATCTTATGTTCCTGTCTCCTAGCTTATCTGACAAATGCAGTTTATTTGACATTCTTTCTGACTGTCAACTTCTTTCTCTTCCCAGTTTGTACAATGGCTGCTCTAATTAAACAATGACGAGTGTCCTTTCTTGTTAGTGAGTGAGTGAGGCTTTACTGTGCTTTTAGCAAAATTCAAGCAAAATCATGGCAGGGGACATCCATGTGGGGAATCGAACCCCACTCTCGTTTTACGCCGCACTCAGCAATATTCCAGCTATATGGCGGCGGTCTGTAAATAATCGAATCTAGACCAGACAATCCAGTGATCAATAGCATAAGCATAGATATGCGCAATTGGGAAACCGATGACATGTGTCAACCAAGCCAGTGAGCCTAACCACCCGAATCCGTTAGTCGCTCTTACGACAAGCATGGGTAACTGAAGGTTCATTCTAACCCGGATCTTCGTGGGTTCTCGTTAGTGAAAGGTAGGGCATGAGCAGAAGCTAGCAACAAACAGACGGGTATTTTATTGCTCTTATGGGCTGTCACAAAGCTTCTGGCACAGGACTGCTAGAAACGTGTTAGAATAACTGACAAACTCATTAGAACATTTCTAAAAAATTCTCTCCAAAATTGTTTCAATCTGTTAGTTTGTTGAATAAATCATCAAATCTGTGTTTTTGACAATAATAATGTAATTTTTGGAGTAAAATTGATATTTTATACTTATCCTGACTCATGCTCTTTTTGCTTGTCTTCTTCTTCTTGCGAACATAGTGGAACACTTGTATCTCCCTAATTGAAGCTCCTTTCAATGTAAAATCACTAATTAGTACTCACCACGAGTTACCTCCTTTCCACAAGCGCGGGAACGAGGGCGCCACCTCTACACATGTGCCTCACTCTCTCCTCATATACTGAGCCCAACATTTGAATTTACAGGAAATCCAAAGTGTTATGTGGGAGGATGGATGGGAGGCTGACCTCATGAGTCAGGATAAGTATAAAATATCAATTTTACTCCAAAATTACATATTTTTCCTTATCCTGACTCATGCTCTTTTGCTTGTAGAATGCTTTCTGAACGGAGGTGGGAATATCTAATACTTTGGATTTTTAATAATTAGTGATTTGAACTGTGATGATTGTAATAACCCTATGGGAACTTCATAAAGGCACTGAACTGGGATGAATTCCTGCTGCTAACTTATCAGCTGCCATATAAAGGTTATTACCCTGTACTTATTATGATAAAGTATATATAACATTAATACAAAGCTTAAGACTAATAGACTTAAGCTTGTTAATATCTTTAGTATAAACTCCTTAGAGTTTGTTAGCTAAAATACTTTAAGATATAAACATAGTACTAAGCTTAAGATATGATTAAACTTAAGCTAATTATATAATAGCAAACTCTTTAGAGTTTGTTAGTTAATATACTTATATGATATAGATATAATGCTGAGCTTAAGATATGAATAAGCTTTAGCTACATATATAATAGCCGAACTCTGTAGAGTTTGTTAGCTAATATATTTTTATAATATGAGTATAGTACTGTGCTTAAGATATAATTAAAGGTCACATGCAACCAAAAAATCAAACATAATTAAAACACAATTATCACTTCTTCATGACATATAATATGCATAGCTGATTATGAAAAAACAAATAAACAAAATTATAAGCGTATAATCGCAAATCAAAAGTGCAATATTTTGTACTTGGGTTTACCTCCCTCGAAACGAAGCAGCCGGGATACCGAACCCAGTCAGAGCGGGTGGGTGTGCACTCAAGTGTAACGGCTGGTTCATTAGCAGATGCCGCCTTCAGGCCTCATATTGTGTGTGTATATAGAGATGATGGGTTTTGTAAATACATGCTCATTTTTGTGTATAACATTTTGCAATCAACAGACATCATAACATGTCATGTGTTCAAGTATCACACCTGCCTGTCTGTGTAATTACATAATGTGACAGAGACCGAACTTCGGCCATAAATCAATGCGTTTTGTTTATGGTGTATAGCCTGATTGGTGTTAAGTTCGAATTGCATGTGGTCAGTGATTGCAGTTGTGTATTGAATATTTTCATTAGCAGACAGGCAGGCAGACACATAGGTGTCAATAAAACAAGACATTGAGTTTTGTCTGTGACAACGACATATCTATATCACAGTTAGAAACTGAGTCAGCGCTAAATAATGACATTGCTTTTAAGTATCGAACTGAGAAAGCGTCTCGGTAAGAAGAACGTGTGGTGAAATAGACAAATGAAATTATATAAACAGTTAATTTACTGTCATAACATATAAAAAGTTCGCCTGTGAGATATCAACAAAACATTAGAAAAATAGCTCACACCAAGGCCTTCACCGAGTATTCACCGACAACCCGCTTCCAAGCTGCCGCTGAGACCTATTTACTTGCATGACGCGTGCTATAGAGCAGCCCAGCTGTTGAAAACCCGTTTCCCCAGAAATCTCTGGGAAAATTAGTGAAACGTTTGAACTCCGATTTCGCGCGGTTTTTCATCGCGTTATTTTTCAACTTTATAAGTTGAATTTGCATTTTTGACTATTTGTTTCGGTATGTCCATACCGAAAGGTATTAGAATCTGCAAAGTTGTGTTTTACGTTGCATGTGACCTTTAACTTAAGCTACATATATAATAGCAAAACTCTGTAGAGTTTGTTAGCTAATATATTTTACAATATGAGTAAAGTATTGTGCTTAAGATATAATTAACTTAAGCTACATATACAATAGCCAAAAAACTCTGTAGAGTTTATTTAGCTAATATGTTTATAATGTAACCATAGTACTAAGCTTAAGATAAGATTAGACTTAAGCTAAATGTATATAGCAAAAAAAACCTCCTTAGAGTTTATTAACTAATATACTTTTTATGTTAAAAACATAGTACTGAGCTTAAGATATGATTAAACTTAAGCTATATATATATAATAGCAAAACTCCGTCGAGTTTTGTTAGCTAATACCTTTATAATGTAAACATACTGCTTAAGATATGATGAAACTTAAGCTAATTGTATAATAGCGAAAAAAAACCTTTAGAGTTTGTTAGCTAAAATACTTATATGATATAAACCTAGTATTGAGCTTATGAAGGAAAACTTAAGCTACATATATAATAGCAAGAACTCGGTAGAGTTTGTTTGCTAATACGTTATAATGTAACCATAAAGCTTAAAATATGATGAAACTTAAGCCAAATATATAATAGCAAAAACCTCTTTTAGAGTTTTGATAGCTAATATACCTATATGATATAAACATAGTACTGTGCTTAAGATATGAATAAGCTTAAGTTACATATATAATAGCAAAAACTCTGTAGAGTTTGTTAGCTAATACATGTTATAATATAACCATATTGCTTAGAAATATGATGACACTTTAGCCAAATAGCAAAAACTCTTTAGAGTTTGTTAGCTAATCTACTTATATGATATAAACATAGTACTAAACTTAAGATATGAATAAGCTTAAGCTACCTATATAATAATAGCAAACTCCTTAGAGTTTGTTAGCTAATATATTTTATAATATGAGTATAGTACTATGCTTAAGGTATAATTAACTTAAGCTACCTATATAATAGCAAAACTCCTTAGAGTTTGTTAGCTAATATATTTTTATAATATGAGTATAGTACTATGCTTAAGGTATAATTAACTTAAGCTACCTATATAATAGCAAAACTCCGTAGAGTTTGTTAGCTAATATATTTTTATAATATGAGTATAGTACTATGCTTAAGGTATAATTAACTTAAGCTACATATATAATAGCCAAAAACTCTGTAGAGTTTGTTAGCTAATGCATTTATCATGTTACCATAGTATTACTCTTAAGATATGATTAACTTAAAGTAAATTCAAATAACAAACTCTGTAGAGTTGTTAACTTATATATTGTATGATGTAATAATCATAGTACTGTGATGATAAAAGGAACTTAAGCAAATTATATATAGCACGTAGCTATTTAGTATTGTTATAAGATAAGTAGAAAACTGTAAGATTGACTTATCTTCTCCACGGAACTGTCAATTGTTGTGCGAGGACCATGGCAACCACCATATCGGATCTCCAGCAATAAACCCTCCATTATTCCAAATAACATTTGTGTAGATCCAATGTAGCAGTTAATGCTCTAATATCATGAGTATTAAGGCTCATAGAGGGTCGGATTGGGTCCATCCGTCTTGTATGCACATAGTATGACAGTTCTGATCCAAACGGAGATATAGTACTTCATTCAGCCTAAGTTGATGATAGAGGAAATAATCTGTTGCATTTTCCCTTCCTGTTTGGTTCGGTGGAGATAAATTTACAGTGCTCTTGCTGGCCATCGTGATAGAATCATCGTATCATGGAGCCCAAGTATGTCATCCAGGCGTGTTCATAAACCTCACTTGTGAGGTGTTGGAATACTATATTCAGATCACCAAGTTGGAGCGTGAAACTTCCGTTTAAATTCTCCAATCAGAAAGCTTAAGTAGGTTTACTAACCATCTAGTTGTGTTAGTAGTTTGATGATGAAATTCAACTGTAGTCTGAGACGCTGTGGATTTAGATCTACTTGTATCCCGTCGTCTAGGTAATTCGCCGCGAAGTTCTTGACGATGTAGGTGCACAACCATGTGTGTCTGTCCTCGTTGAACTTTATATAAATTAAGCCTGACTGCCGTGCCCTCATCCTAACTTGACAGGGGAGGTCTCTAACCTGAAGAAAGCAGCCTAATTATGAAGGTTCAGGTTAACTGGACTGTAAGGAGGCTTGCTCGTTCACTGATATATAGTTGTCACTTGTGACGTAAGTCTTGAACTGTGAACTCAGATCAGCCTCTGCAATGAAGTCGCTGCCCATCGCGTCCAATCAGAACAAGGCATTTTGATTCTGTAGAATACCCGCGCTGTGATGTCACCGGTGTAGCAGGAAAAGAACCTTGTATAAAATCTTGCCGTCACGTTGATATTAGCATAATCGTCGGTCTTCACCGTAGCTTCTCGAAGTTACCCGAGTGACCACGTGTCTGGGGTTAATGGTAAACGCCGCTGAACCTTCGCGCAAATACCTCGCCTGTAGTATTAATGCTGGGTAGGTTATTTTCCTGGCTGTCGTGAAAGTAACTTCAGTTTTGAATATAATTCCGACTTCCTTATATAAAGGTACAATAAACTTGCAAGTTGTCAGCTTGTAGACTATACATGAATGTATCGTCATAATTGTAGAATTAAGGCTGCACTTGTTGTACATATATCTTCTCAGAAAAGTTGACGATTATGAGTTATACTCGCTATAACAAGGCTGCTGTTCAATTTCGATATTGAATTGTCTGTATAAATGCGTAATGGTCACGCATGTAGATAATCGTATCGTCGTCCGGGATTGCATATTCTATCAATCTAAACGGAACAGTTGATTTCTGTGAAGATCTATGAAACGTTGTTGACTAAGTAATACAGCGACGTTCTGTGTTGTAAATAGCCTGTGCAATTGTCTTCGCGTAGGCTTATAGACGGCATCTGGCATACAGTTGATAGACAACTTATGCGATGTCTTGAACGGACTGACGAGTAGCTATATATGACGAGTGGCTAGTATATGGAGACCTTGGAGGAGACTTCCTCGGTGAACGCCGGAGACTTCGAGAAGCTCTCGAAGTATCCTTTCTAGATTTTCTGGGTGAAGTAGACTTGCAGTTATACTTAGCCACGCCTTCGACCTTGAAGGTATCGAATCAAAGCCCGATTAGTATATATATATATATATATATGAGTGCTTGTTCACCAAAGCCTCTGTGTTAAACAGGATGTGGGTCGGCGGCGGCTACTCCTCCAAGCGATGTCCCTTGTAGTCGGTGAGGCTCTAGTTCTCCTTCCGGAGGCGTGACTGGGACTTGCTGGTTGTGCATAAGTAGGGTCAAGATGGATCATCTTATCATCTTGCAAGTAGTCGTAGTACGAAGTCTGGTGATAAGTGTCTTATTCAAGATCGTTCTAGATCTATTTAGGCCAGCGAACATACGTCTCGTCATGGATTCAAATGAACCAATATACGATTGTAGTTCTTATTCTTGGATATCGATGATCAACTTGTCTATGGGTTGATCTTCTCGAGACTTGTGAGGGGAACGTTGATAGTTTTGCCAAGCTCTTGTATAGTCCCCACCGATGTCCTTCTAGATGATGATGATCTGGATTCAGGTGTCGCTGTGCCGCCATGCCTTCGCTGAAGCTTCCTCTGCGTCCGTCCGGGAACACGATATGACCTTCAGCGAAGGCTTCAGATGTCTGGATGATGGTCCGAAGTCCAACTTCTAGGGATGAAACCGAAGAAGGTGATGATCTATCCTGCCTTCGGCGAAGGTTGTACATCGGTCCTTTCCGCCATGGCGAGGTCCTTCGCGAAGGCTGCAGGTTCTTCTAGGTTCTTCGCCAAGGTGGTCCGTGACTTCCTTCGCGAAGGTGACATCGTCCTGGCTGCTACGTTGACGGGGTGCCTCTAAAGAATGTCACGCTGGAGCCTTCGGCTAAGGCTCCGGGTCCCTGCTTTTAGCAGTCTGTAGCGTCCTCCATCATGGTCATAATTTGCCGCGATCAGGTCCTCAGGGATGGTCTGCGGCGACGAGGTCGCCGGGTGCCTTATCTCAAGGTGTTAATGGAGGGGTCCACAGGAAAAATCGTCTGACATCAGTGTAGAGGCATCAGGCCGTGCATGGTGATCTCTCTGCTGATGTCGTTGTAGCTGTCACCAGTCGAGCTTTCTTGTGGCGATGCGCCGGATGATGATCAGCTGATCATAAGAGAGTCCAGGTCATCGGCTGGAACAATCTCGGGTTGAGAAAGTCCTAGTAGACTTCGTTGATTTCCCCCTCAGAGGTTCGACGCTGCACTGGCGGCGACGCCTGCGTTGAGTGTTGGTAACGATGGGGACCTCAGGACGATCATCGTAATATCAAGCTGTTGGTACATCAGGCTGCATGCTGATCTGCGCCGACATCGGCCATTCTTTGATGTATCATCAGGTATGATGATCGAAGCTTGATCATCATATTGGTACCAAATCTGCGATGGAACAATCTCGCTGTTGAGATGTAGTAGAAACCCCTCTAGTCTTCTGCTCGCGACGATGGGATCTGGGGAAGCAGGATGCTTCTTGAGATGCATGGACTGACGTCCCACACCTCTCCACCACTCTAGCGGAACACCACACGAGGAGAGTCACCAACAGCAGTAGACTGGCGCAGGGGTTCAGGCGATCAGTCATACTAGACTCTGCATAATGCTGACCTATCTGCTGCGCGCTGTCTTAAACGCAAAGTAAATATTAATAAAAGGTAGAATTGGATAAATTAGTACCGCAACTGCAACGTGAATATAATGAACATGGCCCGCATAACCCATGGCATATTAAAAGCGGATGAGCAGCAGCATAAAAAACGAATCTGCAATAGTACAGAATTTTCATCAACGTAATCCCCTGAAATAAACATCAGTTCCGTGAATAAACTGTAGAAAAAACGACTAAATATCAATATATAATCGTTGAAGGATACTAGCTAAACCTCTATAGATGTCTATACGCAGGTAACTAACTAAATATAATTCAAAGGATATAGTGTGTCGGGAGACACAGGTGCTCTCACTGCAACTTGTCACAAAGCAAGTTTAGTGTTACAATTCTAACAAGTCAATGCTAAACTACAGGATTTACGACAATGGAAGTGTTGTGATCACATTATGAAAAAGAGCCTTTGCAAGTCAAAGAGAAACATAGAGCACAATTACCCTCACTCCCTGTGCTTTCTAGGCCTCGCCATAAAATTTATCTTGCTGTTCCAGCCCTAAATGAGGTGTGACCCAACTGCTGTGTGAAGTAAGTACTCACTCTTTAGAGAACAGCTTGCAGTGCACATCTCCCATTGTTGTGTGGATGACCACATTCTCTGACACACGGGTATATGACAGATCCTGCAAGGTGAGGAGAAGGTTAAACTTAGTGATATCTCCTCTTCCAGTTTCTACATTCCATTATCTTGTTCATCCATGACAACAAGTGAACCATGGTTAAATATCGTGTCCATGATCATTGCACCTATACAACAAGTCACATGCAACTGTTTGTGGCTGTTGGTTCCTGCTGGGACCAATATAGGTTCAACGCTGCCTCAACCGCTGAGATACCGTATCTCAGTTTAATATCAACACCGCATTCAGCTTACCAGTCTTTGTTATATTGGTGTTTTATTGCCTTAATACCAGACAAAAGGCAGGGTAACAACAGGTGCCATATTCTGGTTGGTTGCTTGGTTGGTTGTTTAACGCCGCACTCAGCAATATTCCATTTATATGGTGGCGGTCTGTAAATAATCGAGCCTGGACCAGACAATCCAGTTATAACAGCATGAGCATCGATCTACACAATTGGGATACAATGACATTTGTCAACCACGTCAGCAAGCATGACCACCCGATCCCGTTAGTCGCCTCTTATGACAAGCATGGGTTACTGAAGATCAAGCCATATTTTAGAATTCTGTATGAGGTGATTGTGGGATCAAACTATCGACCTCCAATTCTCCAGGCACGTGCTCTATCCACTCAACCAACAACGCAGGCATGATGGGACTTCTGTTGAGTATAATCAGTTAGCTGAATTTCAAATTCAGGCATTAATCACTATCAGCGATGACCTGTTTTACTTTTCAAATTATTATTTCATTCACAGTGTTAAAATAACTTGCTAACAGAACAGAAGCTGCCAGCAAACGATCAGATTGAAGGATCATAGTACACGTAGATCCATTTTAGGTGACTAGATTACTAGTGTGCATGCTGCTGTCTGCTCTCACCTGCGTTGCTGCGACCACCTCCTCCTTGGACGGCTTCTCGTTGAACACATCACGCTCAGTCTCAGCACTGAAAAACACACAGTTCTTTAATACAACTTCAGCAATACGCAGGTTATGGTCAACATGACCAGGGTCATAAAGTCAAGGATGTCAGGATTAATTGGTGACACGTACGCATCTGTCAACTCCTCGCCATGCGCCAGATTAGACAGCGCTGATTACTGTATAAACACATATTCAGGCGTCTCATTTCATGCCAAGATCTGGAATTGACAGCTGCTGGTTTGCAGAGCTTTTAAATGATGTTAATGTACTAGCCATGGACGGGACTGAGATTTTATGCCGGTGTTGACAACTTGCCAGACTGGACAGCTGCCGGTTTTGACAGCTTTCACTGTATACCGACTTTAATCTGACTAGTCTCCATTCTACCCACAACATCAGGCATGGGTTACAATATATACTTTCTTCAAGAGCCATTTAGTATACCACAGCTGGGGATCAAACTGACTAATTCTGTTCTCTTGCCTCGATGAAAATGACTATTAATGTATCCAAATTTTGAATAAGCTAATGATTTTTTCTTGCACTGTGTACATTGTATACAAATTAATGGCCCATCACCTCTTTGTATCCTCGGGGGCTCTCTTGGTGAAGAGATAGAACCTGTTCTTCTTGAACGCTGTACACAGGAGAGTGGGATCCAACTGGACGTTCTGGAGGATGGGGTTGTCAGACGCCACCATGTCCGCATCAACAGCCGCCTTCTTCTTCTTCCCGGAACCCTGGAAGAGTGCCAGCTGGATAAACCTGGCATTCTCTGGTTTTCCCAGGATTCTGGTACACCGATTTGTGTGTAGGTTAATCACTGTGACAAAGATGAATCATGCCATGAGTTCCATGTGTCATTAATGGGTCATGGTCAAGGTCAAGGAAGGATGTGAACTCCTGCACCAAATCATGCTAGTGAGAGAACAAAACATTGTTTATTTGCAAAATATTTCAGACTCTTGGTATCGAAACTCGAAGTGCATGAGTTGTCACATGACAAACTGTACTTCAAATACTGTGACAAAACTAACAGGTAGACAGTCAATGGACTCAATAATACTATATTAATGAAATGAACATTTGTTTGTGACATCTTTCATGTCAGCCTTTCTGAACTATTATTTCAAAAGAGATGAGGGAGTTTAACCTCATATCAACACAAACATTTATTTCTTTTGCTTTTCTGAGAGTTGATTATTTTTCCGAACAGACATACCTTTAACACCCAGCATTGTACTGTATAATATGAAGTAGCCACTCTCATCAAACACTGAAACAAAACACAGACATGAGTGAGTGAGTGAGTGAGTGTAGTTTTAAGCTGCTTTCAGCAATATTACAGTGGGGGACACCAGAAATGGCTTCACACTTTGTACCTCATGTGAGCAATCAAACCTGGGTCTTCTACATGACCTTCTGTAATGAAGGGTCTTTTCATGATGCCTTACACCACTCAGCTTCAACAGATTATAAACTGCTTCGTCTGTTGACAATATAGTGATCAATATTGTAAGCACAGATTCACATCACCAAGACACAAGGATGTACAGTCAACCATGTCTGACATAGCCATCCATTTGGTCGAAGCTTATGGCCAGCATAGGTAGCTGTGGACATGTTCTAACATGGAATTCCTGCCAGGAGACAGATCAAAGGCCCTATCACTAGTCTTTGGTCATCTGTTGATAATTTAAAATAAGTCTTTGGTAATTACTGCTTTGTTGCAACTTTTAGATTACTGACTAAAATGGGTTGTCCACTGTTATCTGTATTTTCAGGAAAACTTATGGCTGAAGATCTGATCTGATATTTTGAAAATCTTAGGTGAAATATTCAACCATATCTTTAGGGACCCTTCATAATTTATGGCTTGGGGGTGATGATGATTTTAAGGGGGGGATCACCCATTATGTTCTTGGGAGCTAGGGGGTGTCATCAATTTTGTACACATGTACTGGGGGTGGTGGGGTTGGGGTGGTGGGGTGTGTCTTATGCTAAGAAATTATGGGAAGGGAGGTGGGGTCATTGATTTTGTAAATGACATGCAGGGGGTCACTTATTTTGTACATACACTTTATTTTTGTGTGTGTGTGTGTGTGGTCCATTATTTGTACATGCTTTTTGGGGGTCCATTCAAAATCATCATCATCCCCACAAAAATCATCATCCCCCTAGCCATAAATTATGAACAGTCCCTCATATTATATCGATATATAGATCAACACGATTTGGAATAAATTAACACTTAAGTTTGATACAATATTTCTCTCCACAACTGATTAGATCAAGTATGGACACTACTGATCATTGGATCATTGCACCCTCAACGGTTGCTGATTGACTGACCAGTGGTGGTCTCAGATTTAACACCACTTTCAGATAAGTACAATCATGAAATAGTTCAATAAAAACTTACCAACATTGGCGAGGGAAAATGATTCAGATTTCTCCAGATCTCTCTCAACGGCCAGACGACGTCCGAACTCCATGTTAGGTATTTGTTGCTTCATCTAAAATGAAAATTGACACAAGTATGATCCAAACCTCTAATTCCTTGGAAGGTTTGGTTTAGCATGGAAAAGTAGATGCTAAATGTGTACACCCTCCTTTAGCCTTAACCATCTAGACATACAGGAGGAGAATAGTTAGACAGACTTTGTCAGATATAGGGAAGAGGAATACCAGAAGTGATGTATGTCTCCAGATGTTTCCCACATTGATAAAACCTATAAGCATGTATATGGTACTGACAAACCTAGAAACATACACAAAGCCTATCCAGAGGCGTGTTCAGAACCGCGAGAGCCCGCGAACACTAGCGAGCACTCGATCCTGAACGCCTGTGCCCATTCGAGCGCCTGCTCGCGCCCGCGAACCATCCTCACAGCTGCCTCGCCAAGCAAACCAAGATGGCGACCATGTTTAATGTCATTTGTCACCACTCGCCCCTTTCCGTAACCTCCAACAAGAAGACAAGAAGCTATTCGGCTTGTCCCGGAATAACACGAGATGATTACAAATGGCTTAAAGTAACCAAGCGCTCGCGGCTGTTCAGGGCCGATGCGAGCGCTCACGGGAGCCAATAGTGCGGGCGCTCGTGGTTCTGAACACGCCTCAGATTGAACATATGAACGTAGATGTGCTAAAGGGAAGCAACTCTGCACAGTGAATGGCAACACCTTAGACAACAAGACCACCAGAACATGAAAAAAAGAGCGAGTACGGTTTAAAGTTGCTTTTAGATATATTCCAGTAATGTCTGGGGACACCAGAAATGGACTTCACAATATTGTGCCCATGTGGGGAATTGAACCAGTGTCTTCAGCGTGACGAGCGAATGCCTTAACCACTAGGCTACCCCATTGCCTCTGTGCCACCAGAACATAAAAGAATGAGTGAGTAAGTATGGTTTTATGTCACTTTTAGCAATATTTCCAAAATATCATACCAAGGGGCACTGGAAATGGGCTTCACACATCGTACCCATGAATCCAACATGGGTCTTTGCTTGACGTCCAAACTCATTAACCCCCACCCTAGCCCCACCAGAACAGAAAAGAAACTGAAGGTGAAACAGTACCTGCTGAAGTTCAGTAAACTGTTTTAAGCTTTCATCCAGGACTTTGAACAGCTTGCCAGTCAGGAACTTAAATATCCTAACCTGAAATCAATACAACTATCACAAGTGAGCATTAAGTAGTGCTTAGCATGCTTAGGGCAGACTAATTTAATTAGACAAAGTGGAGATTGCCTGTGTAGCATACCGTCAGAACATCGGTGGTATGCGTGGTGCATGCATAAGCTGCACTGGCAAGGCATCCCACGTAGGTAGTGATTTCAAGGACTCAACCCGAAAAAAGTAAATGTGTAATCCATGTGTTAAAGAAACTGCCAATTACATAATGTTTTGTACATATCATGCACACCCACCGTTCCTGGAGGTGGGAGAGAATGGAGGCTATAGTTTTGCTTCTTGTGAATTCTGTGCTTGTGGAGACACAATAATAATGACTTGGACTATTTCCCATTTAAGATATTTCTTGACAATGACTTAAGGGTGATCTGTGATACAAGATATAATGGTCTGGCCTGATAATATATACAACATCACTAAAACTAAAGATCCACCGTCCTTTGAAGGAACTCAGCATGATCTCTCTCTCAGGCCAGATATACTGTCATGAACTTAGAGCAACATAAACCTATCAGAACTAACTCGCACCTGCTGTGAAGGGAAACTCACCTTCCGATCCGTAGCTAGAGTAGCCATGAGATGTCCATTGGGTGAGAATGCTATACTTGTTGGAACAGCTTTTTTCTGTGAATGGATAAGACGCTTTCCTTGAAGTTGAAACATTACAACATTATCTTGAAACAATATGAAGGGACATTCTTAGAAAAAATCATTGGCAGTTATTCTAAATGTTCATGACATGGCTAATATTCCAATAAATATTTAATTCAAACTGACTGACTGATTGATTGTTGTTTAATGTCACACTCAGCAATATTCCAGCTATATGGCGGTGGTCTGTAAATAATCAAGTCTGGACCAGACAATCCAGTGATCAACAACATGAGCATCGATCTACGCATTTAGGATCACGATGACATGTGTCAACCAAGACAGCGAGCCTGACCATCCGACCCTGTTAGTCGCCTCTTACGACAAGCATGGGTTACTAAAGACCAATTCTAACCCGGATCTTCACAGGAACAAATTGAAAGATTCAGATTTTACTGAATGATATTTCAGATGTCGGTATTCATTTCAAAAGGAAGGATTCAGAGATGAATTAACCCTAAAACATTTGGGGAGAATATTGGTAATGACATGAGTGTCATCTACTGTCTGGCTGATATATATATTAATAAATACCATCATGAAGTCGTAGAGATCAGTGTCAGTTTTAAACTCCCACTGCAACACTTTAGGGAACTTGTAGTCCTGCCTGGCACCGCCCCAACATTCCACCATGCCACTCCGGTCAACCGACACAGCCACCTCCAACACTGGGTTGTACTGCAATACAATGTACAACAGTTAACTTGTGTCCACCTCCAACACTCGGTTGAATTGCAATACAATGTACAACAGTTAACTTGTGTCCACCCCCAACACTCGGTTGAACTGCAATACAATGTACAGCAATTAACTTGTATCCATCTCAAACTCTGGGTTGTACTGCAATACATTGTACAACAGTTAACTTGTGTCCATCTCCTACACTGGGTTGTATTACAATACAAAGTACAAAAGTTAACTTGTGTCCATCTCCAACACTGGGTTGAACTGCAATACAATGTACAACAGTTAACTTGTGTCCATCTCCAACACTCGGTTGAACTGCAATACAATGTACAGCAATTAACTTGTATCCATCTCAAACTCTGGGTTGTACTGCAATACAATGTACAACAGTTAACTTGTGTCCATCTCCAACACTGGGTTGTCCTGCAATGCGATGTACAACAGTTAACTTGTGTCCATCTCCAAAACATGGTTTGTACTACAATACAATGTACAACAGTTAACTTGTGTCCATCTCCAAAACAAGGTTGTACTACAATACAATGTACAACAGTTAACTTGTGTCCTTATCCAACACAAGGTTGTACTGCAATGCAATGTACAACAGTTAACTTGTGTCCACCTCCAAAATAGCTTGTACTACAATACAATGTACAACAGTTAACTTGTGTCCATCTCCAACACAAGGTTGTACTACAATACAATGTTCAACAGTTTAAAAACAAACACATCAAAAGTCACATGAATTAGGATTGTAGAAGATAGTCGTAAATATGAGCTTGGAGAGAGTTACTGTTTGTATCGACTGAAAACGTGTGTTTTGAGGTTAGGCTTGAACACTTGAAGGGATGTAGCTGTACGCAGTTTAAGTGGAAGTGAGTTCCATAGTGTGCTTGCAACTTGTATCCATCTGCAACAAAAGGTTGTACTGCAATACAATGTACAACAGTGAATTTGTGTCCATCTCCAACACTGGGTTGTACATAAATACTTGTACAACAGTTAACTTGTTGTTAATTTTTGCTCCATACATGATTCAAATGATGGCGCAAAGAGCATCTGTATATCAGGCTTCGAACTTTTACTGTACTAAGCTGTTTCCTGAACTTACCCGTATGATAGTGACAGGTTTGAAGTGAAGTTTTTCAATCGAGTGGAGAGGCTCACCATTACCCTTTCCATCGTATATATGGATTGTGTTGCTTTCTTTCTCTGACCTGAAAGAGACCCAGCCAAACTCTGTTTCATGGACAACATGGGAAGTTTGTAAGGGACCATTAAGATAATTTACACAATGGCTGCAACTAACAAGGGAAGACAACTCTGCTGAGATTATGTTCTTTGTCGATGACTGTCTTGCCAGGACTGCAGAATGAAGGTGTTACTGTCACTAAATTTGGGGGTTTTATTTGACGACAAAAGACATAACTTAAGCTGACTGCCATAAGAGCTACTATTGGAGTTGTTTTAAACTGATTCCAGTGATATCGTATGATTAGAACATTAGCTAAGACATCGCTTTTGTTGTGGAAGTAAAATAGCTTGGAGCTTTCCCTGTGATGTCATCAATTTTTCACGTTTAGAGATTAAACCACAACTGCAAATAAACGTCATGATTATTGCCTATGTTGACTCTTTTCGTCATTTCATGTGTATTAAAGTTATGCAAATTAATCAGTGAATGATTACATTGTAAAGCTTCTGTCCTTTAGAGATAGAAATAGCAAGCATTGAAGCTGATCCCCGTCCGCTGTATCTACTCACACGGCTAGAGCTGAGATGGCATCCCCTGGCTTGTACACCCAGCCACTACACAGAGGAACATAACCCAGCTTTATCATGTTGATCATGTCTGGAATCACATAAAGTATTATCATGAATTAACACCTGCCATCATCACTCCAAAGTACATATTCCAAACAGGCTTTAGTTACGAAAACTGTACTGTTGAAGGAACAGTTTGTCATACATAAGGCTTCTTATTTTGTAAAATACATGTTCAGTAAAACATCACACATGAACCACTGACATATTAAGCAAGAGTACAGTTACATCACAGTAGTGAAGTATCTGCAGATCTTAGAGCTTACACATTATAAGTATAACAAAGCCAAGTCAGCTGTAGAATGAGGCCTGACACAGGAGGCAAATGTTTCAGAATATTTTCGAGCAACTCACCAAAGTTTACAACGTCAAAGACTTTGGCAGTTTTGTCGTCAGACACAGTGCAACAGAGTTCCCCGTTACTGCTCACAGACATGTCCTGGATGTTCCCTGAACAAAGACATTAACAATAGAAGGAGGGTGCTAAAAGGGTGTTTAACGTTGCATTCAAGATTATACTATCTATATCATGACAATGCATGTGTGTTTGATTGTGTAAGCAAGAAAACACAGCCTTTGACAATGATGATACAAAAAGAACCAGGCTGAAATGGATAAACTGGCCTGTTTGCTTGTATCCATGGTAAACTAGATAACTATTAAAGCTTGAAAGTCATCGATGTTGGACCATACTAATCAATGCTAATGTTCCTCTCCCATGGCTATAACTATATATCTTCTAAAATAAAAAACCCAGATCAGGGCACTGATAAAAAAAAGAACACCTAGTTCAATCCCTGACACGATCTTGTGAGATCTTTAGCATATTTAGGACTGGTTACCAAGGTGACTTCGGAAGTGCTTGACAAACTCAATGCCAGTCTCTTCTGACTTCTTCCAAAACTTAACATGTCCGTCGCAACTTCCTGTTATGAGGAAGTCAGTCCTGCAACCAACAAAGCTCAACGATACAATGTTGTTTTCTGTAAAAAGAAATTGGGATTTATCCTTCAATCAGTTATTGACTCGTGAAGATCTGGGTTAGAATTGATCTTCAGTAACCCATGCTTGTCGTAAGAGGTGACTAACAGGATCGGGTGGTCAGGCTTGCTGACTTGGTTGACACATGTCATCGGTTCCCAATTGCATAGATCGATGCTCATGCTGTTGATCACTATACTGTCTGGTCCAGAATCCGTTATTTACAGACTGCCGCCATGTAGCTGGAATATTGATGGGTCAGGCGTAAAACTAAACTCACTCACTCACTTACTGAAAGTTGATCATGATTCCATAAATGATTTAATTCTTTACACCTTTAAGCTAAAGCGTGACAACTATTGTGGAACTTTTCAGTATTTTATATTTCCAAACACCCCACTATGAATTCAGCTACCATATGCTTCATAAAGGTGCTAGTTCATGCACAAAACTGTATCCCTAAATATTCTGGTACTAATTTTCGGTTGTTTTAAATAATACAAACCTTGTCACTGCTATATGAGTTATGACATCTCTGTGCATGTAACTCTTTTCATAGTATTCTGCACTGGGGATGTTGTCCATGTATACCTGCTCAAACTCAAGAACTGAAACCAGGAACAGGTTCATGATGAGGCTAAAAGGAAAAATGCACAAAGATCCTTCACACCCAATAGCCCCTACAAGTATAACATGTACATATAGAAGCTCTCTGTATCCTAGCTTTCACTAACCTGATGATAGAGTAAGAATATACTCCTTAACCAGGTTAACGTTGTATTCTTCATAATTATTCCTGATAATAAGCATGATAAGGAAATGACATTCATAAACAAATCTTCTTTAACTTGACTTCCTTGATAGTAACTGTAATTTTCTTAAATTGAAATTGAGAGATAACTAATCCATAACCAACTCAAACGTAACCTTAAGGATCACAAAGGGTGCTTGATCGGCAAAGCTGGATAAAGTTGGGGTAACCTACCAAATCTCTCCGAAAGGCTAAATCATTTTGATCAGAGGCACACGAGGACGTCGAGGTGAAGTCAGAATCCTCAGTCTGAGCCAGATGGCTTTGTCAGTTAAATTACAAAGTTGCGGATGGAAGAAGCAGGATTTGGGTTCCGGACATCTTTACAAATTTTGAAAAAATGGTGAAACCAACGATAGGATCTTTCAACTAAATGTTAACTTTCAATAGTTTCATTTCAAAACTAGACCACACCGACTCATACACTTCTTGAATACAAACTCTTGTTTCTGGTTGTAATAGTATGATTTATTCCTAATCCAACCTTTCTGTTTCTTTGGCTTTGTCGCCTCTTCGGGCATAGGACCGATCCAGCCATCATCGTCATCGTTCTTTTCAACATCATCAATCTCACGTTTTGTGGACGCCGCCATTTTCTGAGTAAATCGAGGGAGGTAACTCTTACAATGAATATTTTACGACCCACACTAAAAACGAGGACAGGACGAATCGTTGTCATTTTGTATTGGGTGAGTGAGTGGATGAGTTGGGTTTAAGTAGTTTGTCAGGTTATATATATAATTTTCTTAATTTCCGGGCTAATTGATGCATTGCTAGAAATCCTATTCGGCGTTAATTTACTTGAAAATGTAATGTTTGTAGCAATTGTAATCTTCCAATATAGAGTATCAAGAGAATTTCATCAATTTTCAGAAAGTGAAACCATTGTAATTTATAGATTTTCCAAATTATCAAAGACTTGGGTCGTATTTTTCGGATATCCTTGTCCCGGGGGTATAGCGAAACTAAAAGAACAAAAATGTTAAGACCTATTTCACAATGTGAAGTTCACATCTGTATCTGGTGTAAATACATATTGCTGGGAATCAAACTCACAACACAAGAGACAAACATAAATAATAAATATTTATAGAGCTGCGTTTCACACAAGACCAACAGGATGCAATGATGATATCTGCACTTCCGCCCCGCTTTTTAGAATAACATTGGGCTAATTGTATCGCCCGGTCGTCTCGTAAGGGACAACGTCCGCATAATTAATTTGCACTCCTATAGTCGCAAAACCCATCAACAATTAAAGCCAAGTAGGTCAGTGTAAGCACCAGCACATGATTAGGGGACTATGATTGGACATGTGCGCGTGACTGCTTACATTAGTCCAGACTGATGTTGGTTTCACAGTGCCAGCACTAACATACTGAGCCAAGTTGTTTTTGTTTTATCCCAATAATGCCTAGCGCTAGACAGGGAAACAACAAGTACCATCTTTCACATGACTTCAAAACGTTTGTGTTTGTTTGGTTTATTTGTTGTTTAACGCTGCACTCAGCAATATTCCAGCTATATCGCAGCGGTCAGTAAATACTCGAGTCTGGACGAGATAATCCAGTGATCAACAGTATGAACAACTACGCAATTGGGATACGATGACATGTGTCAACCAAGTCAGCGAGCCTGACCCCCGATCCAGTGCCTCTTATATGACAAGCATGGGTATGAACAATTCTAACCTGGATCTTCACGGGGGATTGTAGGTATATGCGACTGAACATGTGAGTTTAACGGCATTCCAGTTACATCAAACAGCGTGACGGGATACTATGACTTCCGACATGCTCGATATCTTTATGTGGACTGACTGAGTTTGGTTTTACGCCGCTTTTAGCAATATTCCAGCAATATCACGGCGGGGGACACCAGAAATGGGCTTCACTCATTGTACCCATGTGGGGATTCGAACCCGGGTCTTCGGCGTGACGAGCCAACGCTTTAACCACTAGACTACCCCACCGCCCCTTTTATGTGGAAGGAATTGGTATACCAATTGTTCCACAGTCAAGTAAGTCCGAAGACATCTCATCTTTAGTGATAATACGAACATAGCTGTAAGGCCCAGACTCTCAAAGGTTAATAGACATTTCACATGCAGGGATTCGAACCTATTACCAGCATGAACAAGGGGCGCAACTCCGAAACCTCATATATCCAAGATGAACCCGTTTCTCATTCAAATACATGGAAGGGAGTTCCCATTCCCAAAAGGGGCATTGGGGTAGCCTAGTGGTTAAAACATTTGCCGAAAACACGGGTTCGATTCCCCACATGGGTACAAAGTTTCAAGCCCATTTCTGGTGTCGCCCGCCGTGATATTGTTGGAATATTGTTAAAAGCGGCGTAAAAGTAAACTCGTTCGCCCATTCCCAGTCAGTAGAGTATTGCTATTTTGTTTAACCCTAACCTATTCCTCCGAAACCATACGAGGAAGTGTATCACAGATGAATGGACAAGTGGCTGTATTCTGGAATGTTTAGAATTTTATTTTCAACGCGAGCCAGCTGTATAAGGAAATAGAAAATGGTGTATTGACGTGGCTGTCATATTGCAACAGCCCACTTCAAGAACGCCATGCAGTGAAGTAGCGTATATTTCTTGTTTTGTTTAGCTGCACATTTGAAAATTGTTCAATATCATTATTTGCATCGTGAGTTTACGTTTCGTTTCTCTTAAATATACTCATGCCAATAATGGTTGTCACCCCCCTCCCCACCCCAACCCCACACACACCACACACACCACACACACCCTCTCCAATAAAAAAAATGAAAGGGGGTGACAACCATTATTGGCATGAGTATAATTCGCCTGTGGTTAGGTTATAAGCTGTGAATGTGTTTACAGTTGGGCAGAATCTTCAATTTATCATCTGTTATGAATTGAACAGATTAAGTTAGCAAATTACTATCCAAAAGATAAGCTGTACTAAACCACTCCGTAGTTCGTTTCGATTATTGTTAACGCATTATTGATATAGTATATATACTCTTAAAAAATTAAGGGGAACTTCATTGTTAATTTACGATTGAAAAAATTGGTAGATACATATATCGGAGTCAGTCAAAGTTGAAATTAAAATAATGAATCGAAAGTTCAGGTTCCCCTACTTTTTGAAAGAGTATATAAATATATGAGTTCCTTATACGTGAACCCTTTAAGAATATAGTGGTGAAGTTAACACTTAACGTGCTATCTAACAGGAACCTATACAACCCCAGAGCACTGAGGGAAACGGATTAAGAAACACAAGCACGAGTGTAAAGTTAAATGCAAAGTGTGTGAACGGTCAGTCTAAGTAAACTTAGCCTCAGTATTATTCGTTACCCTAGTATACAGTATAGTAGGGTAACGAATAATACTGAGGCTAAGTTTACTTAGACTGGTGAACGGTGGGTGTTACATATAGGGCAGGGCAGGCTAAGTTACCCTTTTCGCGAACACCTGGTGTCATCACTGATGTGCAGTGACCCATTCATGTAATTTCCACAGCAGTTTTCCCCTTGACATCAAACGGAATCGGTTTCTGTGGATAGTCAAGGTATTCCTTTTCACTGACGTTCTATGTATATTTTATTCCCAGATCTCCTGCAAAGGGTAATACAAAACATTTAAAGAAACCAGGAAATGGATATAGGAACACTAATGCTTTCATGTTATCCCTTATCCAGTACAAACAGTATATATACGAGTGAGTATGGCCTTACGCCGCTTTTAGCAATATTGCAACAAAATCACGGCGGGGTACACCGGGAATGGGCTTCACACATTGTACCCATGTGGGGAATCGCATGCATCCGGGTCTTCGGCGCATTACCGCTTTAACCACTAAGCTACCCCACTGCCCTAGTATATAAACAAAATATCATATTTCGAAAACATATCAGGTAGTTAGACTCGGATGTCGCTGCCACCATATCCGGCCACGTTGGCGCCATACTATTAGCTACTGTTTTATCTGCACTCTGATAAATCTGGGATAGTGATGACTACTACAAACAAACAGGCAAACAAACAAATAGAGTTCAGAGCATAAACATTTTAATAAAAGAAGGATGCTACATTCGTCATTAGGAAATCGAAACATGCTTAAATGGTTTGATGTTTTAAAATGTATTGCACAAGTTCAAGTTGGATATATAATGCAGGACTCTGATCTAAGAACGTTCCTATATCAGACAAACATTAGTATAACGCATTTGCTATAACCCTTTCTACATCGACCGTGCACGTTCTTACACATATGGACGGTTTCTTCCATATATTTGCATCACGAAACTCTTCTAAGTGTTAATGATTTCACAAGAGCTCACACTGGTCGAAATGAGTATATCTATAAGGAGACACAAACAATCCAGAGACATATAGCCCAATACGTTGGATTACACTGTAAATAAAGTGTTTCGATCCTAAACATCTAAGAACCTGTACCCCTTTTGATTTGAAGACCACTTCCTGTTCGAAACAAACTTAAGTCTGAGTTTTGACCTAAGTTAGTTTTGACTCAAATTTGAGAAAACGCAGGGAAATGCATTCCCCAGAATGAACTGAAATCGATATCAAACTCAAGACAATTAGAGTTCGGTAGATAGATTACTTAAAGGTCACATGCAACCAAAAAATCAAACATAATTAAAACACAATTATCACTTCTTCATGACATATTATATGCATTGCTGATTATGAAAAAAACAATAAACAAAATTATAAGCGTATAATCGCAAATCAAAAGTGCAATATTTTGTACTTGGGTTTACCTCCCTCGAAACGAAGCAGCCGGGATACCGAACCCAGTCAGAGCGGGTGGGTGTGCACTCAAGTGTAACGGCTGGTTCATTAGCAGATGCCGCCTTCACGGCTAATTGTGTGTGTATATATAGAGATGTTGGTTTTTTTAAATACATGCTCATTTTTTGTGTATAACATTTTGCAATCAACAGACATCATATCATGTCATGTGTTCAAGTATCACACCTGCCTGTCTGTGTAATTACATAATGTGACAGAGACCGAACTCGGGCCATAAATCAATGCGTTTTGTTTATGGTGTATAGCCTGATTGGTGTTAAGTTCGAATTGCATGTGGTCAGTGATTGCAGTTGTGTATTGAATATTGCCATTAGCAGACAGACAGGCAGACACACAGGTGTCAATAAAACAAGACATTGAGTTTTGTCTGTGACAACGACATATCTATATCACAGTTAGAAATTGTGTCAACTCTAAATAATGGCATTGCTTTTAAGTATCGAACTGAGAAAGTGTCTCGGTAAAAAGAACGTGTGGTGAAATAGACAAATGAAATTATATAAACAGTTCATTTACTGTCATAACATATAAAAAGTTCGCGCCTGTGAGATATCAACAAAACATTAGAAAAACAGCTCACACCAAAGCCTTCACCGAGTATTCACCCGACAACCCGCTTCCAAGCTGCGCGAACCTATTTACTTGCGCACGTGCTATGAGCGCAGCCCAGCTGTTGAAACCTGTTTTCCCCAGAAAAGTCTGGGGAAAATTAGTGAAACGTTTGAACTCCGATTTCGCGCGTTTTTTTTCAACGCGTTATTTTTCAACTTTATAAGTTGAATTTGCATTTTTGACGATTTGTTTCGGTATGTCCATACCGAAAGGTATCAGAATCTGCAAAGTTGTGTTTTACGTTGCATGTGACCTTTAAGTTGTTTGGGCTTTTTTATTTAAAAAATGCAGTTGAGTTAAATATTCAGCTGTTTCAAATTGTCAAACTCAGTTTGAAATTTGAGTAAAGCTTAAGTTTGTTTCGAGAAATCGGGGCCTGTACCCCCTTTGATTTAGAGTCCATCACGCCACTTCCTGTTTGGCTGAGATCGTTGTTTTCACAAATGTTTACTCGTTATCATTATTTTAGCTTTTCCATTGATACGCCATTATGATAATATTGTACCAGTTCGTGGTAGACCCGTGAACAACCCACGCCTGCTTGGTGCCTGTCATCGTATCCCACTTGCACAGAAAATGATCATGTGACCATTAATATAGCGCCTACCTCCAGGTATGCTCATAGCGATAACAATGGTTTTTGTAGAGAACGGTTTTAAGATGACGCTTAAAGTTTTCAAGGGTTAGAGACAGCTTAAGTTCATCAGGGAGGGAATTCCCATGCAATGACCGATGCAGTGTTCTGGTAAGACTTGTATCCAAATGATTTGAGGTTCCATGAACCAATAAAATTAATACCGAGTTTGCTGTAAATTCGGGTGGTATATATGTCGTATTCGGATGGAGTAAATCATATTTGCACTACTTTCAGTATATAATTTATTATTACATCTTATCCAGATTTGACTTGACGCCAAATGATGTACTCTTTATGTAAAAATGTTTGGACTGTTATGATACCCCACAATGATATTTATTTCGCAAACATGTTAAATTCTTAACATATTCAGATTATTAGGATTTGTATTCCCATAATATTTTTTACAAATTCCTGAACATGTTTAAACACATAAGACATGCCCTACGTGTGTCTAGACATATTTTTCACAGTGTTTGTGTTTTGGTAAATTGCTGACTCCAAGATTAAATACAAATGTCCTTGTATTGAGTCAGAGAATTTCAGGCATTTTTGAATAAGTCGAGTATATGGATGGCAACTTCTTGTTTATTGTAAAAAAAACGTTTCTGGGCTACTTCTTACAAATCACCTGAAGGAGGGACAAGAAGTAGCCCAGAAATGCTGTGTTATACAATATACAAAAAGTTGCCATCCATATACTCGTCTTATGTATTCACCAACTTCTAAATGCCTCTCAAGAATCTCGACATTTTTGAAGATGGAAAATATTTGATATAAGCGTAAACTGGTTTTCGTAAAACATCATTCTACAAACGACATTTTATTCATCACTCTGTATTTAATCGATTAATTTAAAATCGATTATGTTGTTATGTTATTTATCGTGAAACGCTTTTGGTAGTGTCTGGAGGGCGAGATTGTGGACTAAATTACTGAAATGGAGAAATAGATGGGTTGAATGTTTCCTCATTGCCACATCAAGTGTTTGGATGACATGTGGAAGTGACGGATATATGTGGTGTCTTCCCATTACGCAGACAGCCAGTTCGCAGACACCTTAAAACAACAACATTTACGGTTCAGTGAACAGATTATCTACTACCTGTTACCTACACATTATAATGGAATAGTCCAAATAAAAACACAGGAACAAACTGAAGCTACATGGACGAAAAGACAGTAATTTGAATTTTTTTATTGCGGCAATATAAAAACAGTTTATTTTCATAAACATTTCGGTTTAACCTTCTAGTCTAACGGGAGTCGGCATCATCATATTGAAAACGTTAGCTTAGCTATTAGAAATTGCGACACTGTTGAGTGTTGTATCTTATAAATCAAATAAAGACAATTGTGAACCTAAATATTATTCATATGGAATATAGAAGTTATATGTTTTGCACACAATATGAAGATTATATGATGAGTGCACTTAAGAACAATTTATTTAGAATAAATATTTAAAATATGACGCATCATGTCAATGTGGCCATGGGTGTGAGAATGTTTTTCATTACTTCCTTGAATGTCCGTTGTATATTTCTCAAGGACATAAACTGTTACAATCTTTGGAAAGGATTGTTGAAATTAGAACACTGATTGGTATTAATCGTATCTTACATGGCAATGCAGGTGTCTCATTTACTGCAAATCAGAATGTTTTCAAATATGTACATATCTGTATCTCTCCAACAAAACGTTTTCTCAGTTAACTTCTGTTGTACATATGCTATTATTGGGATGGGTATATTCTGTCAATAAACACAATCAAGACTCTCAGTGACAAACCTGTTTTAACATTCGATAGTAATTGATAGTAAAATCAATTCTGAGAAGAGAAATCATTTATCATTTAATGACAACAAAGTTCTATTTACCTACAAACTTCTCAGTAACGAACCTGTTTCAGGCTCACCCTGCTCTACTCACTAGACAGTGGACTGTTCCATTATACCCATAGGTGTTACCCTAATTAACCTTCTAGTTCAGTGTCTGTCAATTGGGTGTCTGTCAAATGGGTGTCTGTCAAATGGGAGATAACCATATATGTATATGGGAGAGAATTTATTGATGCCAGATTCCTTGTTAATGAAGAAAACTACGTTTTGGATATTTTCATATTAGGTGATACAAGATTAAGAGCATACAGTAAAGTACTTTTATAACCAATACGCCAATATCAAACTGGCTGTATAACCAACTGTTTTATTTCGGTCCGAGCCTCTTGTTTTATCCGTAAAAATCCGTAAAAAAGAAATATTGTCACAACGAAATGAAATTGGTGGTCCCGTTGCGTTTTTATAACCGTATTCCGTTCCATGAAAACAATGACATCAAAAATTCTCTCCCGGAATTACATGTCCTAAGTTAATGCATTTCACTGCGGAACATAACTGACCCATAATTCGGCTGCTGCCTTCTCGGTGTTCGCCAAAGAGAATATATCTTCCTTGTACTATTTGAATTTTCTTCAACTGCCTGCATACTTGAGATTCCCTAATTTGTTTCAGGCACATAACACTGAAAGTTAAGCTTTTCATGAAACTATTTTATTCTGTCGTATGCTGGAGACAATGTTATAAATAAAATAAAAAATATAAAGTTATAGATAATTTCGGAGAATATGGATGGAGCATCTTGGGCTTTATAAATATAAAACAAATTGACACTTTCCATATCAATTTTATCAAGAAAATATTTCCTGTTAAGGCTTATGGATAACTGCGTGTATCTCATCTCTGCGCTAAAGCACGTATGATAATATTCCGAAACTATTACCAACGAGGGGTGATGGATTAGCCTCATGGTTCAAGCGTCCGTTCGTCACACTGAAGTCCTGGGTTCGATTCCCCACATAAGTAAAATGTGTGAAGCCCATTTGGTGTCCCCCGCCATGGTATTGGAATATTGCTAAAAGCGGCGTAAAACCATATTCACTCAGTTATCAAGGGAATTCTCAAAACGATCATCGATTCTAGCCTCTAGTGAAGATAGATACTTCTGTCAATTTTGGCAAATGGTTCACCCGTGAAAAAGATGTGAATAACAGAAGTTTCTTAAGTTTATCGCCATCATTCTTTTCATTTTCCTGGCTCAAAAACTAAAAGCAATTAAGCAATTTGGAACGCTCATATTTTAAGCTTGAATTTGATAAAGGGACAACCTTCTCCTCTATGGAATATGAATTTAAACTGAAAACCTATTTAAAACATATACCATCTGCTTTGGCAATAAGGCATCCCGAATGTTACGTCATCGCGTCTGTTGAAAATGGAAAGCTACTTTAGGAAATGGACACTATATTAAACCAGTGATACTGGCGATAAATTCCTTTATATTTTTGAAAGAAAATATTTCAATGAAGAGAGTGAGTGAGTTAATATTTAACGTCACATCGGCAATATCTCAGCCATATCGTGACGATCAATGAAGAGAGACAGTTGTACATATACCATAAGCATATTTTGCAAGGCCAGATATATAAACGTTCGAGGAACTGATTTTTACCAAACTATCATTTGTGAAAGTCCCCGTTGTAAACGCACAATGGAAATGCCACCCCTACAAATCCGTCATGTCACAGTTATGAAGGACTCGAACCATTATTTTTAATTGACTAGTTTTCAAGCGAGATGCCATCATATCGCTTATTCCTGATAATTAAACTCATTTGCATATTTATGCGATAACAAGTTAATCTGATTGGTTCACTTAATTAATAAGTGCCGTAACAAGGCATGTACAGGCATATGTCTTGCCCAGATAGCATTCAGACGTTGGCCCAACGTCCGAATGCTATCTGGGTGGTTGTCTTCTCTGCAAACCATTACTGACAACATGAGCAATCATTAGCCAGTTGAAGAAGCTGCAGTGTTAATAGCAGTTTATAAAGATTCCATATTTTGGCCAATAAGCATGTCACGCCTCAATCTGTTGCACAGAGTTGCGTCCCTTTGCAATGCAAGGATCAGGTGGAGACCGATCGGTAGGTCTGTCAGCACCAAAGAGTTTCACCAAAGAGGACAATGTCAACTACGTACTCGATTTTAAGCTTACCTCCCCATATGGCATAATGTTGGATGTAAATTACATAGTATACAAAGAAGGGTTGAACCAAACTCTCCCGATCCTATGTATCCGCATATACATACGCACACCAACCAGGGCCATCATTTTTTACGTCTGTGCCTTGCTACATAACGTTTCACTTGTTTAATAACGGTGTTAGCATCTGGGCCGCAAGCACTGCACTAGAGACTTAATAAATTATATGGTCTCTAGTTGTAAGAAAGATGTTGTAGGTCAATATAATTATCTCCCTTGTTCATTAAACCAACTTCTAACTGCCATTAAAGAATAAACATCATCTGCATAATCTACTATTTTTCAGTCATGATTGCGGAGTATTTGCTGCTGGGAAGTGTTCCTCTCTTGCTTGGGCTACTTGTCAGCGCAATGTGTCTATATTGCCGAAAACGCCGGAAGTCCATGTGAGTTTCTTCTGGTTTTCAAATAGGTAAACTAGCACAAAGCCCCAAAACATATTTAAGTTTATTTTTCAAAAGACACACGTCAACAATAAATTCTTTTCACATATTGGTTATTCAATCTTAAACTGACAGATATAAAATAGACAACAATATGAAATCAATGACATAGTTCAGCACAATAACGCATCACGAGACCATCACATTCTGTTATCAGCCAATCAGGAAACAGGTGTACGTTAGTGGGCGTGGCCTATTTTATTTTGGTATATTTAAACAAATACTCTAAAACTATTGCTTGTTAGCGAATCAAATGATAGGGAATCACGTGCGATTTCTTTTAAATTAAATAACAAACACATAAATACATTGTTGACATTTTAATTTCAGCGAAAATGTTGGAAGTTTTGAAAGGCCGTCAGTTTCAGACGAAACAGAGCACATTGTCCCTAACATTGTGCTCCCACCTACAAGTCCACGAGAGAAACAAGTCATCCACATCCTCCGCATCCACTTTGTTAGTCTCAACAGCTGACCAGATCACAGCATGTCCTGCTTCTCCTCCCGCCTGCCGATCACCTGGCGCCACCTTCAACGACAGCGACTTCGACGACGACCAAAATCCCAGCAACAATGACTGTGCTCTGTATGTCGAATCGTATCCTTTGTGTCGACCTGATCCATCGACCCAGTTCCTAATGGACTCCTGCGGGGGGGATTCGGTTGTAGATGCGCCTCCGTCTTCCTTAGTGGACTGCGATGAGGATGGCTCTGATGAGGACCCTTATGACTACCCACTGTATAACATTCCTGGTTTCTTAAAGAAATCAACAAACGGAGCCAGCTGCAGTAGCAGGTTAATCCAGCCTACCTTGAAGATGGTAGATGTTACTGTCCATCCCGAACCCACGCCCTGGAAGAAAGACAGATCCGCCACAATACACACAGAGTGTCCAAGTTCCACCATCTCACCAATTGGTGATGAACTGAACGATGAGGTCAAGGATGAGAATGTTTATCAAGAACTGGGCGCTGTTGATACAGATTCAGATGTATATGCAAACGGAACTTTGCTATCCAATGTCGAAAAAGCAAGAACAGGTGAAAGGTCAAAATGGAACCAAGAAGAAAATTACGAAGCCGCCTCGAAATGTGTCAGCGAGTCAGACGTTGCCAACAAAGGGTCCGCCTCCCTGTACAGGACCTGAGTACGTCAACTTTAAGGGACGTATGCGAAGCTCGAAGCCTCCTTCTGATGACCAATAAGAACAAAACTATCCCCGACTATAAAACATTTTCTTTGTCAAGGTTAAAAAATGTACAGATGGTGACTGCACCAAGGTAACAGTTGTCTAAGTCTAATGCTGCTATTTTTAAATATATACTGAGAGAAACAAATAAAGGATCACAGCGTTCCTTTATTATTTTCCACTTTACATCACCACAGCCCTATTCAAAGCTGGTGATAAAACTGGAAAATATTAAAGGAACGCTTGAATGTTCCTGTGATCCTTTATTTGTTTCTCTCAGTATATGTTTAACGTTATGCCTGTTTAAGTGTTGTTTGGTTTCATGAACAAATGTGTTCTGGTTTTCAGTATACCCTTCAAGGTAGAATCTCACACGTATTGTCAATGTATAACTATTCTTCTCTGTTTTTCCCCATTTATTAGGGATTCACGTTTGTACAGAACTGCGTTCTCTTGTAAATAGTTCACCAAGAAAAGGCTGATTAATTAAAATTGCATTGACCAGTCTTCTAATAAACTTTTTTAATTTGTGTTCACGTTTTAATGAACTGTTTACACTCATCAGCTATCAAGGCTGATACACAAACTCTGTTATGGATAGTACATTTTTTGCTTTTCGTAAAACCAAACTCAGTCAGTCAGTTTTGCACAGCTATTGTCAACATAAAGTCTTGAGTGAATGAGAGAGTCAAGTCAAATCTACATAGACAAATATGGTTCCACACTTCTAAGGATGCATTAATTTTCTTGTAAAAGCGGAGCCACCAGTTAATGCTAACAACTCCACTTTGCACTGGTAAACGTAATTTATTTGAAACCTTTTTGTTACAAACATTTGTTTACTGAATGGGATAAAAATAATAAATGTCAATGTACAACACGCAGATCATAAAAAATGTTTGAAATGAAAGTCTAATAGTTTGCTCCAAGTGCTGGACAGTTTATTGAACAATTACATTTGGTAAGCACCTCTACTTTTACCATTTCGAATTCTTAAGGAAGCCTCAAGTCTCCCCAATATATATATATGTTTTGTGTATGTATAATAATAAATTAATATAAAAATAAATAAATAAATAAATAGAATAAATGAATAGAATAGAATAGAATGAATAGAATAAATAGAATAACAAAACATAAAAAAATAAATAATCCAACCAACCAACCAAACAAACCCAGTAAAGGATAATCTAGACACAAATACCCTTCCCCCACCAATGACCACAACTACAAAACCAAACAAATGAACACACACACCGCCTAAAACAACAGCAATAAAACACAAAAAACTCAAAACAACAACAAAACAACACAGAAGCCCAAACACTCAAACCACCAACGAAAGGCAGGACAAAAGCATGGCAACAAACCACAACACACGTATAGGAGCAAAACAAACAAATCAAAACAGCCCTGCCAAACGTTCCAAACAGCCGTACCAAACGTGGAACTGCTTAATCTCTTCCACTGGTGCATTGTACAGACCTGCATCATTGTCACCTTTCTAACACATAACAGTGAGGTGTATGTACAACGGGCAGAGTTATAGGCGACATTTCAGTGATAGCAGCTACACCGAAACGTCGCATATATTAATAATAAAGACGTTGTAGATCCATACAACTCTCCCCGCTGTTCATCATACCAACTTCTAAATGCCGTTCAAAGAAGTTAGAGGTGTATTCATAGGCGGATCCAGTGTGTGTGTGTGTGTGTGTGCGCGCGCAGGGGTGCGCACCTCCCCTTTTGTGCTGAAAGTTTGTTAAATGACCATTGAAACTCGGGTGAAAATGAAGTGTGCACCCCTCCTTTTCTCAATAGTGTGCACCCCATTTCTCAAAAAGCTGTATCCGCCCCTGGTATTTAATTTTCTGTGTGTTTGTTTTCCGTTACAAGGTTACAGAGTTTTCCGCCGATAAATAATTATTTGCATGGTATTGATCGTGGTTTTGGATATGATAATACAGACTTCAGATCCTTCCACTAATGTGGTGAAAATATTTTGACACTGTGTTTAACATTTCCTTCTTCATTCTAATTTGTGGGTGAGTTTCCCAAATTCTTGGTGACATTAAACTTGACCCAATCACGGAAGATAAACTTAACCCAAAGCCGGAACAAGAAACCCATGCTTCGCCTGACCCGCTGGTATAGGAGACAGAAACAAATCGAGGAAATATTTAGGTTAATATCTTCTGGTTATCACTTGTCACCACCGGTGAGTTGGGAATCAGTTGGCTCTGAAAACAGTAAGTACAAAAAATTTCTTTCCATATACTTTTTAAAAGCAATAGTTTTTATGATTAGTGTATTCTTCTCCTCTCTTATAATACGTTTGCAATTTCAAAATACTGTACACGAACTGATAGATATAACAAACTGTGTTTTGTATTTGTTAGTCGAAGTACCTATAATAAGCTACTGTTATATCGAACTTAAATTAGCGGCCCTTCTAAGTTCGTTATAACCGTAGTATGATGTACCATAAATACATGAACCAAAGCTCGCGAGATGAAAATTTTCTTAGGACGTCTAGTTTGCAATTATATCATTAATAACCATTGTTGGGAACGGACTTAATGAAATGAAGCATTTAAAGCGGTTAGTTGCATTGGTAATTACTAGCCCTTATTAGGGAGGGACGGGATGAGTTAAGGAAGTTTACTACTTTCACTGGTAATTTCCCTCGAACATTTCGTACACACTTACCATTTTGAATTATATATTCTATATTCAACCTGTTCAGAGTCACTTTTACAGTGGTACTCCGTGTGTTAGCTTTAACTATCATGTGGCGTGTGAAGCTATCGTTCCATGTATTGACGTATATTTTCGTCACTATTTGGATATAATTTATGCCATGAAGTGCATTAACTGAGTCAGGAACTCTCGACACATGATACCGTTGTCTCTTTACTACATGTATATATGTTCTAAAATCTATACTTACCCACTAACTAATATTATGACATATTTGTTTGTTGCACAATAACTCTACCTCCTGTGACATTGTGAAACTGTAGGAGGATGGCTAAATGTCAAAATTCGTCTTCGGACATTAATGGGTACCCGGGAGGAGGCAATGGTTATGTCACTGGCAACTTCTAATGCTTAATAGGCAGCTTGGGTTGTTGGGAGCTGAGAATGAAACAATGCATACTGATCCAGGAACGATGTGATAATGGTGTATCGCGTTGAGCATGTCCAATTCTATTGGCCTCATAGTTATTGTCATTATTTTTATTGTTTTTAGATGTCTGTCTACACCTGGTCCGAAATCGTGCTGGCTGTTGCTTTCTGTGCAGCGGTAGCCTTGATTACAGTGATTTGTATCCGCTGCCAGAGGAACGCCAGGTAACGTGTAGCCTATCTACAAATACACGTGAATGTTGCATAGGACACAATATAACAATGTTACAGGTTAAACACGCATGTATTCCCTGTATATCTTTAACAAAACACACACGTTACAAGTAGACACAGCTGTATGAAATAAACAATATATAGACTATGTGACATACAATGGGGGTAGGTACACATGTATGCTCGACGTGAGACCAAAAATACATATATACGTTGAGGTAGACACACCTGTATGTTCTACGTCATACAAACCTAAAACACAATACATTACAGATAGACTGTAAGCTCTATTTCACAAAGACCCGGGTTCGGTTCGATTCATCACATGGGTACAATATGTGAAGCCCATATCTGGTGTCCCCCCGCCCTGATATTGCTGGAATATTGCTAAAAGCGGCGTCAAATTACGTCACTCACTCACTCACTCTATTTGACACGTTGTTTCCTCCTGCACCTGCACGGATCATCTGCTGGGAATATTAGAATTAACACTCCTTCATGCAAACCCTTGACAGAAACATTCTCCGTCAAACCCTTATGTCAAACCTTCGGTTGTCTCGAAGTGAAAGCTTACTTCCTTATTTCTTCTTTAGTCGTCGCAGTGGTTTGCTCATCACATGAAGGCCCGTGTTCGATTCCCCACGTGGGCACAATGTCTAAAGCCCATTTCTGGTGTCAACGCCGTGATATTGCTGGAATATTGCTAAAAGCGGCGTAAAACCCAACTCACTCACTCACTCTTCTTTTTGTCATCATTTTGCTGTTTTGTCGAACATCGACAACACAAAGTATTTACGTACATCCCTTTAACTTCGACACAACAGTGTTTGTACTTTACATATCTTTCCAGTGTAGTGCAACACCAACATATCACTGCTACCTATGTGCGCTTCTTACTCTATAACACTCTATGTATCTCACGGCAGGGAACACAGACAGTATGCTTCAAGAACGTCACCCATTTGGGAATTGAACCTGGGTCCCCGGCACAGAGGCCGAACGCTTTATGATACATTAATTTCACATACCTTAACCATAAAATTATTTTATAGTAATTTTCATGGTAACAAAGACTATAATGTAAGTCGCAATAATTATCAGGACATCGAAAATGAAATCAACGCACACAACTCAACAAAGCGCTCTAATTATTTCAATGACATTGTTTACCTTTAGGGCACGTGTGGAAGCCAAAAGTTCCGATACAGAAAAAGCCAGTATCCGGTCATCTGCAGATTCAGGCGACGAACAGCAGCACTACAAGGAAGAAGCAGAAGTCATCAACGAACTTCCGGCCTCAGTAGATCGGACTGAAATACACGGAAATAAAGAAACTACTGACATTCAAACTGACCCGATAAACGACTCAGTTAAACCTTTGAAAACTCAGATGGATGGGTCTGTAGGTGTTTCCAAATGGACAGATTCAGTCATTTCTGATGGGGTAGAACTATTACCACCGGTATGCGGATCACTTGACCAATTAAGAAAGTCTTATGCATATATCTGCACCTATCCGAGGGTAAGGCCCTCCTCAGCAGCTGCTGAAGCAGGGATTGGAAGTGACAGCTTGAAGTCTGATGTCTTCTTCGATGCTGCGTCTTCTAATTCAGGTGAGTTGGGAACGTTAGCCAAGTGGATACTCGACATACAGAAGATGAGTGCAGGTTCTGCAGGAAAAGAAATAGCGAAATCATATGACGCCAGCAGTGAAGACAGCTTCACCACTGCCGTCGAGACGTCTGAAGAGACTGATGAGGAATGGGATTTGAGACCTGTTAATGAGAAGCCACCGAAAAAACGACGAGTGTCTAGGAAAGCAAGATCGTTACATCTTGCCAGTTCACACAATAAGAACATGCGAGATAAGACAAAGAAGAATGCCACATGGGGTACTAGCAAACAAATTCAAGAAGGTGCTCCGTGTAGTTCTTCCTCCGCAGGTTACAAGTCTGGAAGTTCTCATGATCTTGAAGTGGAAGCCTCGTGTGAGACTGAACATGAACCATCAGCTGACTATGATCCCATCTACAAAAACTATTCCGGAATCATATCTGAAGCACGTCGTCAAGATGCTTATGAAAATTACCCCGAAGAAACAGAACCGCTCACAGGGACCGAGAGTCTTCAAGAGAGGGAAGACCCATCAACCCCTTTTGTTAGCAGCTTAGTACTAAGGGATGGTATATTCGTTAGATCGGGATCAAGTTCAAGTATTGGTATATCGCCACCTCCTAGATCAGGTTCTTGTCGAGACATCCTGCTGAGGGAACCTGGAGTCGATGGTGCCAAGAGAAAGCCCCCACTGAAACCTGCAAGGCATTTGTCACACAGTATATCTCCTCGAGGAGCACAACCCCCAACCGTTGTAGTCTCCCCGTAGATCCCAGATCATGTAATATCCCTCCCCCTAAGCCTTGTTCAAACGATGTACAGTATGTAAACTTCAGGGGTAGTCTGAAGAGGTAGGAACGCCCTAAGGGGTTTGTTAATAGAAATTATAATAGTTTAAGCATGCTTGTATGTTGTATGCTTAACATTTCCAGCTTTCCGTTCACGATAACTTTGTTATACCATTGTCTGTGGTAACGTATGCTAAAGAGGAACTATGCTTAACGTTCGTCTGTCAATTTCCAGCTCAGCTTTATACGTACTTATTACAGTATCTCAAACTGAACATTTTAGTAATATTTACTTGTAGAGAGCTACACATAAATATGTTTGTGTTGACAGACAGTGGGATTTGAATGACTTGAATCAAACTTGTACGTACATGAAAACTGAACCAAGTGCAACCCCTCTTTAGTGATTCTCTCAATACCTACACAAGCTTCCGTAGGGAGTCTGGGTCAGAGTAAGTCCCAAGCAAACCGTGCCTGCCGTCATTTAATTGGATGATCTGGCTCGGTGACGTGTTTGATTGCGTGTTTTTGGACCCACACGGAGTGGATCTTTCACGATCACCAAACACATACGCCGTAATGTAGCTGGAATATTGCTGGATGTGGCTTTAAGCACAGACACAGATAGACAGACACACCCATTCACGCGTTTCCGCAAACGCACACGCACACGCATACGAAAGTTTAGGATTAGGAACACTTGTTTAATTCCAGCCAGACCTGCACAGAAGAAGAAAGGATGGAGTTTATGTGTGTTTAGGGCTGAAGTAAGTATCCGCCGCTAATCCATGACATTGTTGTACCAATCCAGATACTGGAAGACTGCGCTCCAAGGGAAGCATATTTTGGGAAGAGTGTCTCAACCAATAAGATGACTAGCCCACCGAAGTGTAATTACCAACTGACATTCTGCAGTTGTTACCAGAAGATACGAAAACAATGTCTACACCTACAGTGGACATAACCTAACGCTTTATAGAATTACTGTTCAGCTGCGGTTGGATTTCTTGGAGCATGTGGCGATTGTGTATGAAAAGTTTATGGAGACCCATGTGTACAATCTCATCACATGGTCTATGGAAATCCATATGTACAATCCCCTGTCAGATGTATCGGGGACATCGACATGTTGACAAGAGCTATTGTTGAAATTATACGGACATTCGACACCCAAGGATAATTTCCTTGTCTCACTTGCTCTCGTGCCATCTAGCCGACGTAATGCCTGGTGAACTGAAAGTACACGACTATTTTGATATGATGTGCCGGAACATCGCTGTTTCACTTGTGTATGTATACGCCGCCATCATATGGCTGGGGGTTTGTCGACCGGTCCGTCATTCATCATTCATGCATTATGAAAATACGCAAATAATAAACAAATTGCCGGATACTTCCTCGTCTCAGGTATCACAAGTACATGACTCATCTTAATCGGACACGGAGAGACAACGAATGTCCGAGCAATAAATACCATCATTGTGTTTTCAAAGTGTTTGACCTTTGTACCATAGCCATTCTGTGAAGAGCCTTGTGTTTATTGTGTATGAGACGTGATGCATTACTGAATCAATATGCTGTGTTTTTACATGTCAGCTACACTTACGATCACACCTATGTCAGTGGTGCGCGCAGTGGTGCTTCCCTTAGATATACTAGGATGCAGCAACCGAGCTTTTTATCACCAAATAGTCATCCTTATTGACTTTCTTAACTTGGTAAGCCTTTGACATCTGCATCACTTAGAGCTTTACAGACCCATCACTCACATTCATTAGATATAGACTTGTATTTTAGATTGTATACCGTGTATGGAACATGAGTAAATCTTTGAGGCTGTTTCGAGAAATACATTTTGAAATGAGTAAAGTCTCCATGTACATTTAATACAAGCTTGTTTTGTGTTTTAATGTGCATCATGTGTTCAGTGGTGTTTGTGTCTCAAACCCCGCGTTGTTCCATATAATCAGGGGTAGCCTAGTGGTTAAAGCGTTGGCTCGTCACGCCAAAGACCCGGGTTCGAATCCCCACATGGGTACAATGTGTGAAGCCCATTTCTGGTGTCCCCCGCCGTGATGTTGCTGGAATATTGCTAAAAGCGGCGTAAAGCCAAACTCAGTCAGTCAGTCCATATAATCCTCATATGAATTAATGTGTACAAACCTTCAAGCTGTTTTGTCCAGCAGAAACGGATGGAGAGAAGGGGTGGAGCTTGATACTTTGTCATGTTGTATGGAAAAGAACAAAATGATTTCTGATATATGTTGTAGGTACCGAAAGCAAAAAGTTATGTCAAGTTATTGAGTCGGATTCAGTATATTTTGTCAAGTTCATGGCGCACATACTCAGTACGAATTGTGGGATACAGAGTTATGCCCCTTGATGCATACATCCTCTTCATTCCTCCGAAAATATACTCATGCCAATAACGGTTGTCACCCCCTTCAATTTTTTTAATTGGTGTGGGGTGTGTGTGTGTGTGTTGGGGTGGGGAGGGGGGGACAACCATTATTGGCATGAGTATAATATTTGTATTAGTTGTTGTTGTGTTGTACTTCAGTTGTTGGTTTGTTGTTACACCGCACTCAGCAATATTCCAGCTACATGGCGGCGGTTTGTAAATAATCGAGTCTGGACCAGACAATCCAGTGATCAACAGCATAAGCATCGATCTATGCAATTGTTATACTTCAGATAACGCAAATACCACAAGTATACTTCAGCGGATGTCGTTTGTCGATGTTACTTTAAAATATCTCACTGTAATAGGTAAACATATCTCTTTTAACACACAACGCCGCCATACAGCTGGATTATTGCTGAGTGCGGCGTAAAACTGAGCAAACTCGCTCACATTTAACACACACACGCACTCTCACACACAGGTTAGTGAAACTAATTTTGCTTTGCCTTTTTGTACCAAGACATAAACATACACAGACGTGTCATATCACCCCCTTCCTGGTGACAAACAGGTTGTCGTACGGCTGATACTGTCGTTTAATAGTAACTAGGTCGGCAATCTCGACAAGAATACGAGCTGTCACACTCCTCAATGTCTGGCCATGAGGTTTACATATATAATACAGGAACGCGCTTGGAATGATATTATTACGACAGAGAGGGCACCGACACCCATTGGACCAAACACAAGTTAAATTGAGATTTGAAAAGGGTCATTTCGAACATAGAGACCAAGCCTTTGATCACTCGTCAATTTGACCAATAGGAATCTCTACACCGTTATTGTTCGATGATCGTCCTTTCACTTACCTATCATTCAAGGCGCTGTAGCGTTCTCGGAAGGCGTCTTTTAACGCCTTCAGTTATCCAGGGCACTAGGTATACGTACAATATATATTATACCTATGTCCCTTTGTTTGATCGTTACTTCCTCAAACCGCGTGTCAGTGGAGTGTGTTGGCATATGTGTATTTCTTATACAGCAGTACAGCCTCTTGTTCATTTGCCAGCATGGCCCTTCTACCGCTTGAAACCAGATAACTGTTTCTTCTCAGAAAGGACTAAACACCCAAACACAGGTGAGAAGTACTATTGAATTTCAGACTGGGGTTAATGGAATAACATTCATGATGATATACATGATGATATACACCAGCATCTCGAACTACGTTGACGTTGATCTGGTCAATGGTTGTATATTTCGTTCATGGTTAATGTGAAAGGTTAACTTAAAATTGTATGAATACAATAATATACATTGAAATCATTCACACAGATTACAGTAAACACGGTTATAACGACTCAAAGTTCGTTATAACCATAGTCCGTTGTACGCATATTGAAAAATATACTGTAAGTGTCCTGAGTCGAACACACAGTTCGTTATATCCATCGGTACCGTATACGCATGTTCGTTATAAACGAAGTTTAGTGTAATATGACTAGTAGATCACAGCATATGCATATCTTACTAAGGTTGAAAGTGTGGTAATTTAATAAAACATTCTGTATGTGTGGGGTCGGTGGGGTAGCCTAATGGTTAAAGCGTTGGCTCGTCACGCCGAAGACCCGGGTTCGAATCCCCACATGGGCACAATGTGTGAAGCCCATTTCTGGTGTCCCCTGCCGTGATATTGCTGGAATATTGCTAAAAGCGGCGTAAAACCAAACTCAGTCAGTCAGTCAGTCAGTCTGTATGTGTAAATAGTAAGGGATATTTCAGTATCTATGTCAAAAGTCGGATACGTGTCAAATATAGATTATGGACATGAAACGAACAATGAAAAAGTTGTAGTTCATGAAAACGCAATGTCTCCTGTGTCCACCTTTAGCGTCAAGTAATGATTGGTGGCGTAGATAGAGGACCTGCCCGAAGATCGGTGGTTCGAACCCTGGTCGCTTGATAGCAGATACGTCTATGTAAGTGCAATCATATTGAACGTTGAACCCCATTGTTCCTAAACCCACCTTAGATCGAAAACATATCGAACACTTGGCTATCTCGGGATTTCTATTAAGAAACAGCGTTTCTCTGTCTATGTAGCTAATGTCATAACTTGGCTAAGTCGCCTCCTCTTAAATAGTGTAATAACGAATTTATTGAACAGTTGATGGAACTCCTGCTGTAGATACTAACCCTTTTGTGAATAATGTTCTCGATCACATTGCATCGTATCACAGTAGTTGCGTGTACAGTAAAGTACGGTCGTTACGTGTACAGTAAAGTACGGTCGTTACGTGTACAGTAAAGTACGGTCGTATCACAGTAGTTACGTGTACAGTAAGGTACGGTCGTATCACAGTAGTTACGTGTACAGTAAAGTACGGTCGTATCACAGTAGTTACGTGTACAGTAAAGTACGGTCGTATCACAGTAGTTACGTGTACAGTAAAGTACGGTCGTATCACGTTACGTACAGTAAAGTACGGTCGTATCACAGTAGTTACGTGTACAGTAAAGTACGGTCGTATCACAGTAGTTACGTGTACAGTAAAGTACGGTCGTATCACAGTAGTTACGTGTACAGTAAAGTACGGTCGTATCACAGTAGTTACGTGTACAGTAAAGTACGGTCGTATCACAGTAGTTACGTGTACAGTAAAGTACGGTCGTATCACAGTAGTTACGTGTACAGTAAAGTACGGTCGTATCACAGTAGTTACGTGTACAGTAAAGTACGGTCGTATCACAGTAGTTACGTGTACAGTAAAGTACGGTCGTATCACAGTAGTTACGTGTACAGTAAAGTACGGTCGTATCACAGTAGTTACGTGTACAGTAAAGTACGGTCGTATCACAGTAGTTACTTCTACATTAACGTACGGTTGTGACGAACTCCAGGGGAGCACTTTAGCTCGTTAAAACCGTAGTTCGATCAACGCACTGAAATATACAACATATAGCCCGGTCCAAAAATAATTCGTTATAAACAAGTAGTTTACTCTCTATGTTATTTGAATCAAAGATATAATGGGATGTTCTGAGTCCAAAGAATTCGACGAACGAGAGAAGAAACATGTGGAGGAAACGGATCAGTCCAAGAAGCAGATTGAGGCCATACTGGCCAGGAACCGGAGGAAGAATGGGGGTGAGGAAGAGCGTCGTCATTACATGTTGTCTTGCAGCTAATTGGGAAGAATGTGGAGAATGAGTTATAACGAGAGTGTACATATTTACAAGTGTAAAGAGCCATTTCAGTCAACACTACAAATATAGACTAATACTAGGAGAAATTGTGCAAACATGTTTGTTCATATAGATTTTTAGTTTATTAATCTGGGGTGTGATGGTTATAGTAACACTACATGTACACGAAGAGGCGAGGCTAACTGCATTTCAGAGGCCTGCACATCATTTGAACATATACATGTCTCTTTTCAAACAAACTTATTGGGAGGGTGGGTGGTGGGGGGGCATAGGTTATAGAAAAACAATTAGATGGAAGTCATGTATTTTACGGAAGTGTTTTATAAAGTTCGTAAATATTCAAAAAATATTACGCCATACTTTCGTACTTAGTCATGTCAAGTTTCGAAAACTTTCAAACAATTAAATGAAACTAGTCAACAGTAGATTGAATAGTGCTAGTTTTACCTTCCTCGACCTGTCGTCGTATGTTGGTGTTGCTGTTCCAGTGTCGAGTGCACTGGATGTTGAGCTGAGCCTAGTCATGCTTTCCACAATCGGGATACATACAATTTATATTGCGACTGATACTAAATTCATGTGTAGATTTATTATTATTTTTTCAACAATAGCCAACAAAGACTATTTCTACACGTCCCTGTATAAATATGATATCAATACAATAATATACATTTAAATGATTCACACAGACATACAGTAAACGTACAGTATACAGTAACGACTCAAAGTTCGTTATAACCATTGTCCGTTGTACGCATATTGAAAAATATACTGTTAGTGTCTAGAGTCGAACACACCGTTCGTTATATCCGTCGGTTCGTTATAAGCATGTTCGTTATAAACGAAGTTTAGTGTAATGTGACTAGTAGATCACAGCATATACATAGGTTGAAAGTGGTAATTTAATAAAACATTCCGTATGTGTAAATAGTAAGGGATATATCAGCATCTATGTCAAAAGTCGGACACGTGTCAAATATAGATAATGGACATGAAGCGAACAATTAAAAAGTTGTGGTTCATGAAAACGCAATGTCTCCTGTGCCCACCTTTAGCGTCAAGTAATGATTGGTGGTGTAGATAGAGCACCTGCCCGAAGATCGACGGTTCGAACCCTGGTCGCTTGCATAGCAGATACGTCTATGTAACTGCAATCATATTGAACGTTGAACCCCATTGTTCCTAAACCCACCTTAGATCGAAAAAATATCGAACACTTGGCTGTCTCGGGATTTCTATTAAGGAACAGCGTTTCTCAGTCTATGTAGCTAATGTCATAACTTGGCTGATGTTAGAATATTAGAACAACAGTAAAGTACGTTCGTTACGTGTACAGTAAAGTACGGTCGTATCACAGTAGTTACGTGTACAGTGAAGTACGGTCGTTACGTGTACAGTAGAGTACGGTCGTATCACATTAGTTACGTGTACAGTGAAGTACGGTCGTTACGTGTACAGTAGAGTACGGTCGTATCACATTAGTTACGTGTACAGTGAAGTAGTGTCACAGTAGATACGTGTATAGTAAAGTACGGTCGTACCACAGTAGTTACGTGTATAGTAAAGTACGGTCGTATCACAGTAGTTACGTGTACAGTAAAGTACGGTCGTTACGTGTACAGTAAAGTACGGTCGTACCACAGTAGTTACGTGTATAGTAAAGTACGGTCGTATCACAGTAGTTACGTGTACAGTAAAGTACGGTCGTTACGTGTACAGTAAAGTATGGTCGTGTCACAGAAGTTACGTGTACAGTAAAGTACGGTCGTATCACAGCAGTTACGTGTATAGTAAATTACGGTCGTATCACAGAAGGTACGTGTACAGTAAAGTACGGTCGTATCACAGCAGTTACGTGTATAGTAAATTACGGTCGTATCACAGAAGGTACGTGTACAGAAAAGTACGGTCGTATCACAGTAGTTACGTGTACAGTAAAGTACGGTCGTATCACAGTAGCTACGTGTACAGTAAAGTACGGTTGTATCACAGTAGTTACTTCTACAGTAACGTACGGTTGTGACGAACTCCAGGGGAGCACTTAAGCTCGTTAAAACCGTAGTTCGATCAACGCACTGAAATATACAACATATTGCCCTGTCCAAAAAATAATTCGTCATAAATAAGTAGTTTACTCTCTATGTTATTTGAATCAAAGATATAATGGGATGTTCTGAGTCCAAAGAATTCGACGAGCGAGAGAAGAAACATGTGAAGGAAGCGGATCAATCCAAGAAGCAGATTGAGGCCATACTGGCCAGGAACCGGAGGAAGAATGGGGGTGAGGAAGAGCGTCGTCATTACATGTTGTCTTGCAGCTAATTGGGAAGAATGTGGAGGAGGAGTTATAACGAGAGTGTACATATTTACAAGTGTAAAGAGCCATTTCAGTCAACACTACAAATATAGACTAATACTAGGAGAAATCGTGCAAACATGTTGGATTTGTTCATATAGATTTTTAGTTTATTAATCTGGGGTGTGATGTTTATAGTAACACTACATGTACACGAAGAGGCGAGGCTAACTGCATTTCCGAGGCCTGCACATCATTTGAACATATACATGTCTTTTCAAACAAACTTATTGGGAGGGGTGGGATGGGGGATATAGGTTATAGAAAAACAATTAGACGGAAGTCATGTATTTTACGGAAGTGTTTTATAAAGTTCGTAAATATTCAAAAAATATTACGCCATACTTTCGTACTTAGTCATGTCAAGTTTCGAAAACTTTCAAACAATTAAATGAAACTAGTCAACAGTAGATTGAATAGTGCTAGTTTTACCATCCCCGACCTGTGGTCGTATGTTGGTGTTGCTCTTCCAGTGCCGAGTGCACTGGATGTTGATAACTGAGCCTAGTCATGCTTTCCACAATCGGGATACATACAATTTATATTGCGACTGATACAAAATTCATGTGTAGATTTATTATTATTTTTTTTCAATAATAGCCAACAAAGACTATTTCTACACGTCCCTGTATAAATATGAAGGAATGAATGCCGACGAATTATCATTTGAAGAAGGAGAACAACTCAAATATATTCAAAGAGGGTGAGTTGTTCATAGCGTAGTTGGCTACTGAACGTTATGTGTGGTGACATCTCTGTCTTCAAACACCAAGCAAATATCTAAAGTTTACTGTGAAAGTTTATCGTTCAATAACGGTAAGATAGGCAATGACCTTTCACTGATCCTAGGACCGCCTCCGTGGTGTAGTGGTTAGAGCGTCCGTCCGGAGTGCGGAAGGTCGCGGGTTCGATCCTCGACCGCGTCATACCAAAAGACGTTAAAATATGGTACTTGTTGGTCCCTGTCTGGCGCTCATAATGGGTACAACAAGGACTGGTCTCGGAGTCAGTATAATGTGTCTGAGTGGGGTATTCATGCTTCACTGCGGCATGGTCTCTCAGTGAGCTAACACTATAAAACCAGCTTAAGTCTGGGCTAGTACAAGCAGCCGCACATACAAATATACACGCATGCACGTCGTCATATGAGCGAAATATTCTCAAGCACGACGTTAAACCCAATTTCACCTCACCTCACTGATCCTGGCAGGGAATAAGTAATCTGTATGCCATATTGTTTAAACTCTGTCACCAGGAATGACGAGGAATGGATACTGTGTTGCAACAAGTCAGGAAGAAAGGGTTATGTCCCCTTGTCTCACGTGGTACGGCAGACAGAAGACTCGTCTATAAAAGTTAACGAGTGGGTATATACATCAAGTTACAACATCTCTGGATAATAGTCACTGCAGTATCATCTGTCGATGGAAATTATAACAGGAAACCACATATCTATATGTATGTATGGTTCTGTCTAAACAATACCGAATACTGTTATTCTGAATTCTGAAACAACACACACACACACACACACACACACACACACACACACACACACACACACACACACACACACACACACACACACACACACACACACACACACACACACACACACACTTCACACTAAAGGATAGTGATAAGTAACCCCTCAGACCTTGAACAGACTTTCAGCAGTTACTTCGCAGCCAATCGGTTCAATGAGCAATGTCCTGTTGAAGAAAGTCGTGGATGAGAAGCGTTTCCATGAAATCTACTCGAGTAATAAGATGTTTAAATACACAGAAACACAGGACCAGGGCGAATCTAGCCTCCGTGCCCATATTCGGGCTTGTTCAGTAAATACGGGGTGCACGTCGATCTATGGCGTCCCACCTCTTCCTGAAAGTTGTTGCAACAGAACTGAAGACATGGTACGCTGGACAGTATTTTGTGAAGTGAGATAAGCATACCTAAAGGGAAGTAGTTTGTCTATTGGTTAAAGGTCACATGCAACGTAAAACACAACTTTGCAGATTCTGATACCTTTCGGTATGGTCTTACCGAAACAAAGCGTCAAAAATGCAAATTCAACTTATAAAGTTGAAAAATAACGCGATGAAAAAAACCGCGCGAAATCGGAGTTCAAACGTTTCACTAATTTTCCCCAGACTTTTCTGGGGAATTCTTTCAACAGCTGGCTGCGCTCATAGCACGTGCGCAGTGAAATAGGTTCGCGCAACTAGGAAGCGGGCTGTCTGGTGAATACTCGGTGAAGGCTTTGGTGTGAGCTATTTTCATAATGTTTTGTTGATATCTCACAGGCGCGAGCTTTTTATATGTTATGACAGTAAATAAACTGTTTATATAATTTCATTTGTCTATTTCACCACACGTTCTTCTTACGTGTCACTTTCTCAGTTCGATACTTAAAAGCATTGTCATTATTTAGCGTTGACAGAATTTCTAACTGTGATATAGATATGTCGCTGTCACAGACAAAACTCAATGTCTTGTTTTATTGACACCTGTGTGTCTGCCTGCCTGTCTGCTAATGACAATATTCAATACACAACTGCGATCACTGACCACATGCAATTTGAACTTAACACCAATCAGGCTATACACCATAAACAAAACGCATTGATTTATGGCCCGAGTTCGGTCTCTGTCACATTATGTAATTACACAGACAGGCAGGTGTGATACTTAAACACATGACATGTTATGATGTCTGTTGATTGCAAAATGTTATACACAAAAAATGAGCATGTATTTACAAAACCCAACATCTCTTTATACACACACAATGAACCGTGAAGACGGCATCTGCAAATGAACCAGCCGTTACACTTGAGTGCACACCAACCCGCTCTGACTGGGTTCGGTATCCCGGCTGCTTCGTTTCGAGGGAGGTAACCCCAAGTACAAAATATTGCACTTTTGATTTGCGATTATACGCTTATAATTGTTTATTTGTTTTTTCATAATCAACAATGCATATTATATGTCATGAGGAAGTGATAATTGTGTTTTAATTATGTTTGATTTTTTGGTTGCATGTGACCTTTAAACAAAACCAAATCTTTCCCTGTACATTGTATACTTCAATAGTAACATATTATATTGTGTTCAAAAATACCTACATCGTTAGCAGCCATTAAATGTATATATATGCACAGTATGGCCATAATAAAAACACCAATTTTGGTTAGGTTCCGTTGCCGACAACAGGAAGCTGAACATCCCAATTCCACACCAAAGGTCACTTACTTGAAAATATTAATTGAATTAAAAAGAACAGCAATAAATATTTAAAAATATGGTCAGTATTAATTACTGAATGGATGTACATAGAATACACAAAACTCTTACACAAAATCATCCAATCACAGCCGTCAGATGGTACCTCCTGCACGAAAAGTTCTTCTTAAACTACGGAATCGGATTTGGTCTAGTATAACCTGTACTGTGTTGGCTTACAGCTGGTGGTTCGTGGGCAGCAGGGAGGACGCTGAGATGGTGCTCTTGAACTATCACCATGGCAAGGCCACTGGGATATTCCTGGTCAGGGAAGCTTCAGGTGGGCAAAATATTTAATACATGACACTTTTCTTTTAACTAGACAAACAATCAGTGTCCGAGTGGAGTACCAATATCATCGAAATGTAACAAAGCAAAAGAGTTTATGGCATCAACAATAATAAAACCAATCTGCAAATAGAATATTATAAATATATAACATTGTGTATACATTTAGGGATGTGTGAAGCAGATTCTCGGAATGTATATCTCTAATAAGGGACACAGTTTTAACAATTTAAACAGTATTGCTTTATTCGTCATATTTGTCATGTTGATCAGAGTACGGTGTATTTGTGTAGTGTGTATAGTCCCTGGTTACAGACAAGTCCGGCTATGTTCTCTGTGTACGGGCGGTCGACGTCAGGAACAAGGCCGTTGTCAACCACTACCGGATCTACGGTTCCACCCAGGATGGGTTCAACTACAAACAGTACTACTTTCCTACCATACAAGAGCTCATTGAACATTTCAAAGGCACGTTAGTTTGGACGTCTTTTTCGTTCTGTGGTTCTGAAAAGCACTTCTATTCATAAAACGAGGAAGAGAGGTTAATCACTACATGCTGGTAGAAGATGGCTAGAGATGAGGATAGGCAGCTACTACGATATTTCCTTACCTCCTTACTTAGATTAGAATGTTGAAGCCACTTTGTTGAAGTATAATTAGTAGCAATGAGTTCTGCGGTATTTAAGGAAGTAGAATGAGAGCACCCAACACGGTGTTTGAGGTCAATCGTATAAATATTAGGGGTGGGTATTGCAGAGAATTTCCATATTGCGATATAATTTTATTGCGATGCGAAAGCATGTATTGCGATATGTATTGCAATATATTGCATGAAGTTTTTTAAACAAAAATCTACTTATAATCGAGGTAATGCTTGATTTATAGAGCAAAAACACAACAAAACCACTATGCTTGATTAATCTTTTATAACAACTTTTAATCATGACAAATTAAAAATGTGAATAATATTTGGCAGAAATGAAACAAGGACATATCCAAAGATTTCCGAGAGTTACGAAGTTTTCCGAATGCAAGTCAAAATACCGGTTTTTCGATCAGCGTATCGCAATACGTATCGTTTTCATATCTGAACCGGTAAATACCGGTAAACCGGTTATATTGCGCAGCCCTTATAAACATCCTTATAGCTTTATGGTTACCGTAGTGGTACTTGGGAGGCCACTGGCGAGTATGAAAAACATTAATATGACAAACTGTCTCGTAATTACATAATGGCGTGAAGCAGGTTGAAGCATAAACAAAGGTTTCTTTGTACAAGGACAAAATATAATACCAGCCCCTATGACATAACAGAAATCAACCCTGTATTAATTTTGAATTAATGTATCCTTAAATATTGAATATGGTTTTGAAGCTTAACACACTAGTTATGTAAAGGTCTTAGCCTGTTAATTCTAAGTGCTTGATTGCGTTTCTGCGATCATTTCAACACTCTCTGGTTCAAATCCAATTCATTCACATGAGTACCAATGATATTTTTCTAGGTCACAATAACTTTTACCTCTGTGTATATGTTTGAAGACCTCAATTAACCGCCACAACAAAATGAGTCAATGTTAAACTTTACAGAGGACCTGGGATTGGGACATCTGCTGACTCAGCCCTATTCGAGAGTGAAGCCTGTTCCTCATCTCCGGGACATCGAGGTTAGGAGGAACGACATACGTTTAGGAAAGATGCTGGGTGAGGGTCACTTCGGCGAGGTTTGGGAAGGTAGGTCTGTTTCATCTTAACGTGATTCGCGTAGAATGGTTTTATCTTCCTCCCTTAGACACCACGTTTAGACACCACGTTTAGACACCACGTTGCTTCACGTTTATGAATTGTAGCTGCTTAATGTGGTTGCCAAATAAATTCAAGTTTTATTGCTTATTTTTGTACATGTAAAGGAGCTGTCCAGTGATCTGAAGTGTCCAAACTCGTTGTAGTTTGTAAGCACCACGCCATGCGTGTTGGTACCAGCACAATATTAACCATCTTCACGGTCTTCATCACTTTCTTCCAAAAGCATAAACACTGATATTACTGCAATACTGTTCAGAGGTCCAACTCAACTGCTAGACTCATTTGGTATTGTGTCGGTGTTTATAAGGCCAGCTTCACGACAAGATGCCTGTCGCTGTGAAGGTCCTGAAAGAAGGATCCATGACAAAAGAAAGCTTCATGAGCGAAGCAAGGATCATGAACAAGCTGAGGCACCGTCGGCTGGTGCAGTTGCTGGCTGTGTGCACAGAGAGGGAGCAAACCTTGATTGTGATGGAGTTCCTGGCCAAAGGGCCTCTACTGTCATACTTGAAGGGAAACACCTGTTCCTTCCAGGATTATGCCACCATTTCACTTCAGGTAACATATGTGATTTGTTCTGAAGCTTACGTTTTACAATCCAGATTGTTAAAATATAATATGTGGAAATTTCTATGTTCGGGTCTGTAGATATATGTGCTTCTACAAAACAGGAGAGAGTAACATTTATCGAACGCTGCAGTCAGCTGTTGTGAGTGAATTAGGTTTTACGCCGCGTTTAGCAATATCCTAGCAAGAACACGGCGTGGGACACCAGAAATGGGCTTCACACATTGTACCCATGTGGGGAATCGAACCAGGGTCTTCGGCGTGACGAGCGGACACTTTACCAATAAGGCTACCCCATCTGTAGATATATGGTGTTACAAAATAGGACAAATATCTAATTTTACGCTCTAGGCTATAGTGAATGAATTAGGTTTTACGCCGCCCTTAGCAATTTCCTAGCAAGAACACGGTGGGGGACACCGGAAATGGGTTTCACACGTTGTACCCATGTGGGTATTCCCTATTTATTTTATTGCAGTGACTCGGACAGTCTGTAAATATATGGTAAAACCTTTTAAGGGACATTTATCCCTCTGAAGTCTGTTACAATTACTGTGCCTTGTTATAGCTTGGTCACATGTATCGGAAGGTCCATTGATGTCTCGGTCTTCTCCATGTTGGCAGATTGCTGAGGGGATGGCGTTCCTTGAAACACAGAACTACATACACCGGGACCTCCGTGCTGCCAACGTCCTTGTCGGTGAAGACGATGACGTCAAGGTCGCAGACTTTGGACTGGCCAGAGTTCTCACTGACGAGCAGATTTATACAATGTCGCAGAGTAAATACATTCGTTGTTCCGTCACCCATTTCTCCTTTTCGTACACACCTGGTACCTCAGGAAACGCTCTTTAAATCTTCAACACCATCATCACATGGTTAGGGTACAGTCGGAATCGGAAAATAGACTTTACTTTTTAAAGGTGTACATTGAGAAGAAATACTGAACAAAACTAGTTAGGGATATACATGTATGTACATTTTGAAATTATGAATAATGATCTATTTATTCATTGACACACTGATAAAATATCAATCATAAAAATTCCAATATCCCTAAATTATTTTGTCCAGTATAGTATAGAGAGAATCATATGATACTGCTTTCCGTTTAAAGTGGCTAATTATAGACGCAATTGCACCTTTACAATTTTTATTGATGCAATTGATATTCTTTTTTCACAGGCACCCCACTTCCTGTAAAGTGGACCGCGCCTGAGGCCCTAAAGTCTCAAAACTTTTCCTCAAAGTCAGACGTGTGGTCGTACGGTGTCCTCCTGTATGAAATCATCACTGATGGCAGGGATCCCTATCCAGGTAAGCTGGTGCTAGATGTTTTGTCGCATTGATAAATATAGGATGTCTCCCATTGTCTATTGACATCAAATACTTCCCAAGAGATCAACCAGAGCCAATGTGGATCCAATGCGTGTTTTCGTTACCCCATAACAGACATTGAAATACTCGAGGTTAATGATATACTCGAGGTTAATGATATACTCGAGGTTTTATTATTTGACACTATGAAATCGTTCAACGCACAAAGTGTGAGTGATTCACCCAGTGTAACATGTGGTGTGTCGAATGATATGTAGTGTTGCATCTCGCCACAGAAAAAACGACGTGAAACAGCTGTCTGAAGTTCATGGGAACGTTAGTAATTATTGTGCAAGCATGCATTGTGTCTATGTAGGGAGATTGGAAGTATGTGACCTTATTTTCATACTAATCGGCTTATTAGACCATGCTTATATGTCGGGTTTCATACACCTATAACACTATCCATAGTAGGATCAGTTCGTTAGAACTGGGTTAGAATTTGCTTTCAGCAACCCATGTATGTCGTAAGAGACGACTAACGGGATCGGGTGGTCAGGATCACAGACGTGGTTGACACATGCCATATTATTTCCAGTTGCATAAATCGATGCTCACGTTGGTTGATCACTGGATTGTCTAACCAGACTCGATCATTTACAGGCTGCCGTCATATAGCTGGAATATTGCTGAGTGCGGCGTTAAACAACAAACAAACAAAGTGACCGCCCACAGACTCGCTTTGCCTGGTGTCAGTGCATATAACCCTTCTGTTTCTACCTGTACATTTAAGGCATGACTGGCCCGGAGATCGTCAGTGAAGTGGGAAATGGCTACCAGATGGCGAAGCCCAACGTCTCTGAAGACGTGCTAAATACCTTCTACCCAATCATGCAAGCTTGCTGGAACCTGGCGCCCAACAAGAGGCCGACATTTGTGGCGTTGCACCAGCACCTCTTTAACATCAGTCAGCAGTTAACTTGAGAAAAACATCATGTCAGTGAATATAAAGCCCAAAAATGAACAGGGCTTAGATTATGGCTTCTGTTCTGGTATCAGTGACATCACGATGGCAGGTTGGAAAGTTCATTTCTGTATGTAATGTACCGAATGTGTGAATATGTATGTGTGTTGAATATGTAAATATTGTTGTTCAAATTAAACTCTTTAATAAATGTTGGACCGAATGATTTAATTATGCTACATTTATGCTTAAGCGACAAAACAGGCATCAGGCGAATAACAGAAAAATGCCCTTGCTCCTGATGGTCACAATCTACATCTGTTATCGAGGTCTGTAGCTTGATTAAAGTATTAAGGGCATTCTATTGATCTTATGAAACGTCCAGTTCTTACAACAGTAAGTCTTGATTAACTGCCCGAACACATTTAGTTTGGGCGTTAATGGTGATCTCTTTGTATAATAGTGATTGAAGCAATAAAGAAAATGATTGTAATGTTCATCTCACTGCAACAATGGTCAAGTTTCCAAGATACGCCAGGTATCCAGAATAACAATGATCTGTACACAATGTTGTCGTAACTGCGTTCGGGTGTCAGTAGACCCGCGAAGATCCGGGTTGGAAGATTGATCTTCAGTATTCCATGCTTGTCATAAGAGGCGACTAACGGGATCGGGTGTTCAGGTTTGCTTACTTGGTTGATACATGTCATCGTATCCCAATTGAGTAGATCAATGCTCATGCTGTTGATCACTGTATTGTCTGTTCCATACTCGATTATTCACAGACCACCGCAATATAGCTGGAATACTGCTGAGTGCGGCGTAAAATTAAACTCATTAACTCCCTCGGGCGTCAGTAGACCCTGCTACAGATACCTACTAATTATGACCGTTCCAAGTTCTACAATAAGTGACGGCCACTCACCTCTGTCAACTGAAAGGCCGCACTACTGTACTCGTGTTACCGCTTAAATGGTTCGAGCCTGACCTGATCTTGATCACATGCTCCAACATGATTTCTTAAGAACTGCATGTGTCTTTGCACATATGTTTCGTGACTTGAAAAATAGCGGACAGCACTGATCGGCGACTCACCCCTTTCCAACTGTCTGCACATTGTTTTAATGTAAGATTAAACTGTACTGTCCTCCTGGCGTTTATGTTCTTCCCTTACCTCGCGAAACCGACGGCACAAAAACATCCCTCGATTGCTCTCGTTGTAACTCGCGATATTCTGTCACCATTGTTTTCCCAACCTTAAATCACTCATGAGAAAACCGCAAATCTGAATAATAATTGTCTAATGGTTTAGGGATGTTTACATCTTAGCAATTTTGGTTTTCTTGTAAATGTGGTAAGAGACTTCAATAGTTTGACCAAAAACATGTTTGTTTCAAAGATCTACAAATATCTGCACCAAGATTTAAAATTTCCCTTTGTGAATAGTCTTGGTCGGGCGCAATGCGTTCATATTACAGGGGACACCAATACACGTGTCCTTGTATGTAATGCCTTGATACCTTAAACATGTGTTGTGTTTTGATCCCGTTGGCTTAGTGTAGTTAGAGGTATTTGCAGACTATGACTTTAAATTCCAGGGGTAGCCTAGTGGTTAAAGCGTTCGCTCGTCACGCCGAAGGCCCGGGTTCGATTCAGATCATTTCTGGTGTCCCCTGCCGTGATATTACTGGAATATTGCTTAACCAAACTCTTCCACCCACTCATGAGTGCGACGTTTCGATATAGAATCTTCTAAATTCGTCACGGAATCAATTCTGTCAAATATATGCCTGAATAACATAGGCATGTCTGTATGTCTGAGAATAGGGTGTTAATGAAAGTACTTCATAGAATAAATAGACAAAGCGGTAAAGTCTCTAATGGCATTTAATGCACAGTTTTATCATTAACTGAATATTGTTAACGTGTGGCACTCACGGGATTAAGAATTCACGTTCTTAGTTTTGATAACGCCTTACCGTAATCATTAAACAGTGATACGGCATTTCAATTTGACAACATATAATTTTGTCGTTTGAGAAAAAAATGAAGGTAAACTGTTGTTCACAGGTGTATGTCCAAATTGACTTCCACAGTAATAATAATAATAATTGACCAACAGACGCTTTAACCTTTACCTTTATCTTAATTGCTATATATACTGAAAGGCAAAAGAAACGTCGTAATATTGGAAATGACTATTGAGTATCAATGGAGTATTTGAACTTCTTTTTTTTTAAATATACACCGGAAGTCAAGTTTGTGGAAAACATGAATCGTGGTCGTATGGCCTGTTTTGCCCAAAAAAGTATTGTTTGAGAATGAGGTTAGAAATATTTTTGTTCGTGGCAAGGGAAGAGTTCGCACAAACACAATATTGAAATCGAGATGCACGTGCATCACGCATGCATTCAGGCATAAATTGCCGGCTTGAATGGCAATCGTTCACTTGTTTTCTGAATACAGCAGCTATGGCTAGGTTAACGAGAGGTGTTGATGGACGATATGACGGTCCTGGCGACGTGTTGTTGCACGGGGTCGACCACTACGTAGATGGTCATCGGTGCAGTTGGTGGCGTTGTATCGCTGTCTAAGACGTTCTATCGTTGAATGTGGGAGGAAAGCCCGAGGTCATGCAGACTCAGACTCTCACCGCTTTTTGAAACTCATATGCACGGGACATTCAGGGTTTCCAAGGATAGGATTTACATGACTGAACATACGTCTCAGCTTATAAAGATGGATAGGTCCTCTTAGTAAACTAGGGGCGGTGGGATAGCCCATTGGTTAAAGCATTCGCTTGTTACGCCTAACGCCCGGGTTCCATTCTCCATATGGGTACAATGTGTGAAGCCCATTTCGGTGTCCCCTGCTGTGCTATTGCTGGAATGTTACTAAAAGGAGTATAACAGCCAACTCACTCACTCACTCACGCACTCACTAAAAAGGAGTATAACACTCACTCACTCACTCACTCACTAACTTCACCAGATCTGCTGTCAATGATTTTCTAGTGATGGTGATGGTGCGAATCTGTTTCATGAGATGCAGGATGGAACACATCATTCAGTTGCATTTGCTTCAAGGGCTTTGACGACAAGTGAATGTAATTACGCAGCTATTGAACGGGAGTTATTGACTGTAATCTTCAGGCTACAGAAGTTCCAAAAGTAAATGTTTGTGACGACATTTACTCTGGTGACAGATCTCCAACCGAAAACGACCCGTGAAGGTCCGGGTTAGAATATTGATCTTCAGTAACCCATGCTTGTCGTAAGAGGCGACTAACGGGATCGGGTGGTCAGGCTCGCTGACTTGGTTGACACATGTCATCGGTTCCCAATTGCGCACATCGATGCTCATTTACAGACCGCAGCCATATAGCTGGAATACTGCTGAGTGCGGCGTAAAACTAAACTCACTCACTCACTCCAACCGAAAACAGGAGTGCAGGAGATGTACAGATTCAAATATTCACTTTACGACGACTTCCGTGGAAGATCGTTTTTCTGTCAACCCTTAAAACACCACATCGAACCGTCACCTGCTAATGTCATTGGATGCGTGGTTTCCTATTCCAGTAACAATGTTACGTGTTAATTCCCGAGTTACGGAAAGCAACCAACAGACAACAGAGTAATATGATATGATAGACAATTGTATTCTAAAATTAACCAACTTTACAAATTAATGCCAGTCAGTAGAAAGGTGTTTCAGTGGGAGTATTATTCCAATAATATATAATACAGAAAAAGAGATTAGAGAAATACAGACAGAGATGGTGAACTTCATCTCACTGCAAAAATGGTCAAGTTTATGAAAAGGCCTCGAATCTAGGGTAAGAAGGCAGGTAGGTGGGTAGGTAGGTAGGTAAGGTAGATAGGTAGAAGGTAGAGGTAGGTAGGCAGATAGTTAAGGAGGTAGGTAAGGTGGGTAAGCAATGGGTGGGTAAGGTAGGTAGGTAAGGTAAGGGTAGGTGAGTAGGGTGCAGGTAGGTAGGTAAGGTAGGCAGGTAGGCAGGTGGGCAGAAGTAGGGTAGGTTATGGGTGGTGGATGGGCAGGTGGGTAGGCAGGTAAGGTAGGTTAGGTAGGTAGGTAAGGTAGGCAGGTAGGCAGGTAGGTAGGTAGGTTGGTAAGGTAGGTAGGTAAAGGTAGGTAGGTAGGCAGGTAGGTGGAGGTAAGATAGGTAGGGTAGGTAAGGTAGGTAGACAGGTAGGCAGGGGAGGTGTAGGTAGGTAGGTTGGTGCTGGTATATATGTAAGGTTCCAGGTCATAGGTCTTCTGCAGGTAGGTAGGTAAGGTAAGGTGGTAATTTAGGTAGGTAGGTGAGGTAGGTAGGTAGGTGGGTGAGGTGGGTATGTAAGCACTCCGTGCAATGTTCAACTGGTACATTATTCCCTTCTCCTGGTAGGTTCAGGTAAGGTATACAGGTAAGGTAGGTAGATAGGTAAGGTGGTTTGGTTAGGTAGGTAAGATAATAATACATTATAAAATGAATAATGGTAAGGAGGTAGGTCATCGCCGATATACCACCATTCACCCACTTCTTAAAAGAGTACGTAACAAAATGTCGCTGTTGGCCGGTATATGCCAGGTATATGACATCCTGAAGATCGATCTGCGCAATGGGGGTACGATGACTTCACCATTTATCAGTATCTACAGCAAATAAATGGCGCATAAAATCTTATATACTTAGTCAAATAAAATTGAAAGATGTATACATGACCGTAATTAATTCATATTTGAAGAAAATAGACAACCGGGGTCGTGAGATCGATCCTTGCTTAACACCTGCAGATGTTTGAAATGATGGACTTATCTGACTCCTGGTTTTCAGACAAGATATAACAGCTGTGGACATAACGTAGCTAAGAGACGCGCAAACTGCCAAGAATATCTCAAAATAAATATCTCGAAATGAAAATACCTTTGTTCAGTTCGACATCTTGCTTGGAACTGGATTTGATAGGCAGGTGGTGTCAGGACTGTCTTGATTTTGTACGTCCGGGGATCTGATGAAGGTAAAACTTGGGATGGGTCCTTGGTGAGATTGAATTGCTGTAAGATTGACGACAGAGCAAGACCAATTCCAACACGAGCCAGTTTCTGACCAGGACAAGAACGCTTTCCTGTACCGAACGGTATAAGTCTGCAAAATATAATAGTTCAACACAAACCGTCTATTTATATATGTCTATTTACATTGTGAATTTGCAAGAACAGTAAATAAGAGCGACAATAATGTTTCCATACATCTATAAGAAATCTCTGCTGAAAGAGATTTTATTGTACAATTCTGACTACATGTATATCATTTGTTCACGTAAAACATTGGGAACGTATGGTACAAGCAAAGATCGGGAAATGGATTGGACATTGTTCTTGTTAGAACGTCAACTAGCTATTGTATACCCTTACTAAACCATGTAGCCACAAAGACCATCGTGTCTTTAGTCTCCCCTCCTCCCTAAATGTACAGATAATTAATCAAATCATTTCAATCTATGATCAATAGATAATTGACATAAGATAACCGATATACCGGAAGCTACCATTTTCAAGATTTAGACTGAAACCAGTTAATGATATTCATGGCACAAATAATTTGGTCCTGTCACGTTTACCTTTGTCGTTTTTCATCATCTGGTGGCAACAGTTGGCCATTTTCGTCCAAAAACCGATTCGGGTCAAAGGTGAAGGGCTTCTCCCAAAATGTCTCTTCATGATGTACTCGCCAAATGTTATATACCACCTGCAATGTGGAATACACTATATCAGTGTGGTATTTTACGCCTGGGTCTCCAATGATCTATCCGTATTTGTGCAGCAAAAGAACATGATTTGAAATGACGATAGTTGGATCTAATATATTTAAGAATCATACAATATAGTATCATACAAAAGGATCTTTCCCCTTGAAGATACATGATAGACCATCCCATTCGTGATTATATATTCGGGTGCATTTTACTTCTTGTTTTACAGGTCTGAAGTTAGGATAGTTTTAAAGTAATGCTTCACAAAGTATGTTATGGACTTTGGTAGGCGGCAGCCGGAAAATACATATCAGTTTAATTTAATTTAAGACATTTAAAACGCAAAACAAAAAAATATGAAGTTTAATAACATTTTAGTTAAAGCGTGTATTTCTAAAACATCAAACTAAGTTTATGATTGTTTTGGCTGAAAAATATAATACGGGATTTTGTTTGACGGAATTTTTTATGATACATTCAATAGCGGCTGGGTGAATTTTGATAAAGTAAGTGTTTGTCCCCAATATTCCGACAATATCCCGACACATCCTGTATTTGGAGACCCGTGAAGGTCCGGGTTATTGATCATGCATAACGCATGCTTGTCGTAAGAGGCGACTAACGGGATCGGGTGGTCAGGCTCGCTGACTTGGTTGACACACGTCATCGGTTCCCAGTTGCGCAGATCGATGCTCATACTGTTGATCACTGGATTGTCTGGTACAGACTCCATTAATTACAGACCGCCGCCATATAGCTGGAATATTGCTGAGTGCGGCGTAAAACTAAACTCACTCACTCACTGTATTTGGATTGGATAGGTGACGTTACTGTAGGCGTCATCAATGATCAACACTATCGTAACAAGACAATACCTAATGTTCAAATCATCACCAAACCAATAAATACAAGCAGCAAACCCCTTCCACATCCATATGAAATCTCAAGAGTCAACAGTACAGTTTCGATTATATCATAAGCATCTGTTTATGAATCAAGATTGGAACAGTGATGATACGAGGTGTTTGCAAACAGGTGAGCGTATCCTGCCCCAGGGTGACATCCCGATCAACATAAATGCGACATGGAATCATAAAACCAAGGAAATAAACATATGTTGTTGTCGAAACATATTGCAACATATACTCATGCCAACAATGGTTGTCACCCCCTTCAAATATTTTAATTGGAGAGGGGGTGTAAGGTGAAGTGGGAGGGGGTGACAACCATTATTGGCATGAGTATATAAGAAAGTAAAATAGAGTATCCATATTGACCATACCGTTGTTCCTTTGGGTATAAAATATTGCTTGTAGGAACAATCCTCTGTGGTTATTCGTGGAACCGGGAGACCAATAGGGGTGAAGTAGCGGTATATTTCCATCTCCACGGCCTTGGTGTAGGGCATTTTGTCCATGTCCTCCAGACCCGGTAGTCGGTCCTTTCGAACAACCCTCTGGATCTCCTCTTGGATCTTCCTCTGGACCTTGGGGAAGTGGACCATGGCCAATAGGGCTGCATATAGTGTTGGTTTGGGTGATAGGATACCTGTTGAGGCAATGAGTCTAAATTAATCACACTCAATTCATAGTAATGAAATGTGTTTGCGAGCGTGTCCTACCCAACCAGTGGCACCCATCACAAAGAGATGTACAGGCAAGTCAGCTGTTCACAGGAAAATACACCTTAACAATAGCTACTAGTCAAAATAGGGAATTGCAGCTGATATCATTTTTGTCAGAGTAGCATTAAATCTGGACTTGTCCTCCATACGTCAACCATAAAACCTTTTGCAAACTTTACTTGTGTATTGAACGTCATAACCCTCCAACAACAATTGAGCTTCGATCACTTACATCCAAATAAAAAATATGCAATAACCCTGGGCCCCGTTTCTCAAAGCTCTCGTAAGCCTAAGATCTCGTAACTTTGCTTGTAGCATTCGTACCTCCTATGTTACAGTATTAGGCTTACGAGAGCTTTGTAAAACGGGGCCCTGAACTGTAAGCCCGACAAGACAGGCTTCTTGAATGGAAGCATATTTAAATACCAGAAAGAAACCAAGGAATAAAACAGTTCAGCTGGACCTGCAAACAGACAGTCAAGCACCACGCCTTTGATGTTATCTTTGGATAGGTTGCCATCTTCATATTCACTCACAAGCAGCGTGTAGAGGTTCCCTGCCAGTCCACAATTCGTTTCCTATGGGCAAACATTCACTGTTAGAAGTGGTCAGGCAATAATTGAAAAAACACTATGTATTGTTTCTCTTTTATAACTTATCTTCATAAGTTGGCACACCCAGCCGTATAATTAGAAACAATAATGGAAATACCATTAAATGCCATAATGTAGACATATATCTTAATGTAACGGTCGAACGTATTATCATCGACGATGACGTATGATTGTGAAGGTGTCGTCCTTGGGTATGACTGTCCACGTCCACCTTATTGGATTCTGAAAAAACATCTACCCGTCTAATGCTTTCCAAAGTGTCCATGAAATATTGAATACAATTTTCTAATCTCTGGCAGGAACGTTTGAGACCCGATGACACGCTTGTAATAAAAGGAATATTATCCATCAGGATCATGTTCCTGTAGTTGAAAAGCAAGTCAACTTCCGTAGTCAGATGATGACATGTTTCCAATGCCTTGTGGCCACTGTCAAACCTTTGCCCACAAATCTGAAAAATTATAATAGTATTTTACGTCAACAAACAGAATACACCTGCGAAGAAAAATGCGCCACTCGTTTCTTTGAAAAAAGGACAGGGCAGAACAAATACAAGGTGAGGTGAGGTGAAATTGGGTTTTACGTCGTGCTTGAGAATATTTCGCTCATATGACGACGTGCATGCGTGTGTATGTGTATGTGCAGCTGCTTGTACTAGCCCAGACTTAAGCTGGTTTTATAGTGCTAGCCCACAGAGATACCATGCCGCAGTGAAGCATGAATACCCCACTCAGACACATTATACTGACTCCGAGCCGACCAGTCCTTGTTGCACCCATTAATGCCGAGCGCCAGGCAGGGGCCAACAAGTACCATAATTTAACGTCTTTTGGTATGAATCGGTCGGGGATCGAACCCGCGACCTTCCACTCTAACCACTACACCACGGAGGCGGTCAGAACAAATACAAAATACGGACATACCCGAAGGTCCTAATTTACATAAATCTGTAGACAATGGCCATTATAACATGGCAGTTAGCCTATCTACACTTCGGAGTCCATGCACAGTGTATGGCTGTTTTTTTTACATAAAAAAGATGCTCCAAATGTTTAAAAATAAGGTCGTAGAACGGGATAAGTAAACGTATTTAGCAGTTTTGTAGTAACATTTTCACATTTGCTGTGCTTTCCCCATATAATCAAAGCGTATCTTAGATCGAAATTCATTTCAGTAGTGTTTGCCTCTCAATAGTACAAGTAATCTTCCTTACCGACATCAACATCAAATTGCTGACATATTGGTTAATATCTTGCAGTGGGTCGCAAGGAACACCTCTTGTTTCTCTGAATCGTTGGATTAGTTTAACCAGCTCCACGTTGACTAGCTGTGCGATGTCATTGATAGCAGCTCCATTTTGCTTAAGTCCCACAAAGGCCAGTTTCTTCATATATATTTCATTCGTGTTCAGGCATTGAAGACTGATATCGTCAGACAATATATAGGTACCAAGGTATGATTTCCTTCTTCCGCTGAAGACGTCAGAAAAGGCAGTCGAAGTCACAAGATCTCTGATAATATCTGCAGCATCAAGAACTACAGTTGGTGTCCTCAACAGGTGGATGGTGAAGATACCGTCATATCGTTCTCCAAGTTTGGTGAGATCGAACAGAAGGGTCTCATGCTTCACCTCAAGGAAATTACCAACAAGCGGTAGGGGTCTTGGGCCTGGTGGCATTTTTCTGTACTTTTGATTTATATTGTATAGGTAGAAGATAAGCAGTGCAACGACTGCTCCTAGGAACCATTCCAGTGTAATCATGGTGGCTTCAGATACAGGGACACCTTTATTTACTGAAGCAGAAAGCAGAGGAAAGGAGTTGAAACTCAGTGGGTAATACTTTAATGAAATTCTGTATTTTGAGATGTTATATTGTTTTTGTTGCATTGTTTACAACTCGTAGAAGTAGTCAATATGAGCAACACACATAGATGTAAATGAACGGAGTGCTCTTCGTTATGTTAACCATAACTTGACCTGGTAACATTGTATGATGTGTCTCGTACTCATGTTAAATTTTAAGAAACAAGAATGTTTTCACGCATTTGATCGTCTATTATCAACGCCTATGATCAACTCTAAGTGAGGCTGTCATTCAGATGCTAGATTGTTCATAAATCAATGGACGAATTGTCTATATTTCCTCCAATAATGTCGGAGAGTACATTGAATTATTACATGAATACAAATTATATGATTACGTAAAAATCATATTACAATATAAACGAAAGTTAAGAATATGTATTCATAATACACTGGAAGTGATGGAATGAAATACGAATTGCTGCTCTGGTTATTATATACCCAATTATATTCATGCAGAGAACACGTGTATCATGTGAGAACAAAACTCGTATAAAGTGAGTGATATCAGATTTCCACTCTACGATATTGCATTGAAAGGAAAATTAGTGATAAATCCAGAACTACGTTTGCGAGATGCGTGCATCCTTTCGGGCATAAGGTTGTATGCAACTGACATCTACCTACAGTACAACTATATCAAAAGTTGTATTCCCAGGAACATTGTTCATGAAGTTCTGAGATATGTGAAAAAAGGCATCAATAGTGAACACCTCAGATATCGCTCGTCATTAAAAGTATATTGAACTTAAGTGTGAGCCTGGAGAATATCACAATATGAATGATGCTTATTATATAACGTACAAAGAAAGTGAGTTAAGTGAGTTTATACAAAGAAACTAACCGTGAGTGCCATGACAGTTCAGTCAAGACAGTGCTCCCTTGACCATAAACTCCGTAAATATCGAAAGCTTCTCAATTAGGCAATAACAGACATGTGAAGGTAATTAAACGCTTATCAAGGCATGGTTGACAAGTGATCCTCATTGAATTTAATGCGGTTAATTCTATCACATCAGAGAGTATGTGCTCAGTGTTTTGCATGTATTTTCTTAAACTCTAGCTACGTCTGTAATGTCTGATTGTGTCGATAATCGTTTGCTTCTGGTGTTACTGAAATTGTAAAATGAATAATAAGATTACATTTTTTTATTCGGACACATTTCATTTACCTCCCAGTAGATTTGGCATACTGTTAAATCATTGAAAAATGGCGTTCATCCCTCAGCCTAAGTTGCCCTATTATCTAACGAGCCCATCAAATGTGCTTGTAGATCATTATTTGGCCATGGAACCTTAATTTTCAGTGGCATTATTTAACATTAAAGCATACCATCTTATCTGGCAGGTAAGGTGTTACCAGTAAGAATACATTTAAATGAAAGTGTGACCAAAATATTTTCATAGAGGGTGGCTTATTCATAAAGCTGTATGACATGGTTGTAGCTGTTACGGCATGGTGTCTTGTCATCCATGCAAACTTGCATAACATACACAGGCTATAACTCAGGTACAGGTGTACATAGTATTGGCCAGGGACGAATGAATGAATGAATGAATGAATGAATGAATGAATGTCTTTATTTCCTCCAAAAATATATTCAAAGATTACATAAACAAACATCAGTTAGTTACATATATCCACATATCATATGTACAAAGCACGGCTATTTACAACAATGATAGTTCAGAAAGTATACATCAAGGAATCCTTTAAAGAATAGATATACATGTAGTTCGAAAAATGTAGTATGATGGTTTGCCATGCTGTTTCATGAAGGCCAGGGATGAGAAGTTTTGCACCACAAAACAGTACAAGGGCATCTTCATCATCAAGCATTTCAATTATTACATATAATTCTACGTCCAGTAGGTCAATTAGCGTCATATAGAAATTATTTCTTTGGCTCATTACAGATTCACAATGCAAAATGGTGTGGGCATAGCAGTACTTATTGCAAAGCATACATTCTTTTGAGAATTTGGCTTTAGAACCGACTAGTACAGCAAGTTGTATATGGTCTTTATATTCTGGGTACAGATACATTAGAGTGTAAAGTCTATGTAGACTCAGTGTTTGATGGATTACAGCATATCTGGACATATCCTCTCTAATGGAGAGTCTCAATTTCCATTGAGCTTCTTCATAAGAGAAGATACAACTTATAACTATTCTGCGCCAAACTGTCTTTGACGGAAATATACCAGTTTGCACGTAAGTTAATACATATTCCAGTAGATTATACTTCCGTGCTGTACATAACAGAGTGTTGCAAATACTGCGTGAGCTAATATTTAAGTGAACAGTGAGTGCTAAAAATGCACAGAACAGTGTTTTCGTTGATGAATTACAAGCGTTATTACATAATCTTCCAAGGAATAATAATTTACACTTGTCAATGTACCCAACCATTGTCCAGAGGCCTAGGTTGGCACATACAGAATCTGTTGGCATACGTCTGTTGAACCCTTGAATACATTTAGCGAAACATCGTTGGGTATTTTCCACCAGATCAAGGTTTTTACCATATAGCGTAGGCATGGTTTCACAACCATAGAAACCTGTAGGTAAAACCATTCTTTCCATATATTAACACATGTAACTGGATGTAAGTCAGTACTGTTAAGACCCAAAGAGCGCAAAGAATTTATGGTTTGCCTGGCCTTTTGACAGTTAGCGAAAACATTTACTGATGGACTTATATTAATAGAGGTGTCGCAAAGGAGAATGAGAGCTCAGGACAAGATTGTTTCCCTTTCCGAAAAACTACAACAGTGCTTTTCGATGCATTGTATGTTAGGCGCCATCTGGAAGCATATTCTGAAACAATATGAAGAGAATTCTGCAGCCCATACGGAGTGGTACTTAACAGTGTTAATATTAATTAAGAAGATAGCATCGACTCAGGATTTACGGGTAATTTAACATGATTAAAACGTAACGGGTGGGTTAATTTAAGGATATCTGGGTGGGCGGCTGATCCAGCACCTACCTTTGCAGCCATTTATTGTAGAAGCCTATGCCTTCTCGGGCGTAGTGGTTGGAAAGACGTGAGTATGTCAGGCTTCTTGCATGCTCGGTAGGCGGCTGTTATGTTAGATGCCGGGATGTAAGGAGCTTGGTCATTGGTTGTGTACGTTTTCATACTATTAGTCACATGTCGGTAATATAACCCTGCCCTACCCAAATCACGGTGGAAGTGGTGAGTGAGTGAGTTAGTGGAGTGGAGTGGAGTGGGGAGGGGTGTGGTGTGGTGTGGTGTGGTGTGGTGTGGTGTGGTGTGGTGTGGTATGGTGTAGTGAGCAATATTCCAGCTATATGGCGGCTGTCTGTAAATAATCGAGTCTGGACCAGATAATCCAGTGATCAACAATATGAGCATCGATCTAAGCAATCTGGATACGATGACATGTGTCAACCAAGTCAGCGAGCCTGACCACCCAATCCCGTTATTCGACTCTTACGACAAGTATTGGTTACTGAAGACCAGTTCTAACCCGGATCTATAAATATAGTTCATGTGAACAGCTGCGTTTTGGTGTAATGTTTTGTTAAGAATTCGCCAATTTTTACTGATTTTCATCATTTACTGAACTCATGACAATAATCCTTCAACGTTACGAATTTGTTTTACAATACTGTAGTTCATGTGTAAACAGTACCTTTAAACTGAATGAATATTTTGAAAAATAAAGTTTCGAACAGTTGACTCAAGTAAGTGGCTAAATTTACACTAGTGAGTCTAAACTTTTGATTGGTAGTATACATTAAAACACCAAAAACGAAACAACCTAAACTAAAATGCTATAAAGAATTCAGGATTTACACACCTAAAAGGGAGACTTTATACGGATCCCTGGCCTGCCTCTTCATGGGTCTAAAATTTGATATCAGCCTCCCAAACACCCGCGAGTTGCACAAACGAGCCTTCACACATACACCCATGGCAAGCCTACAGGTAGAATGTTAGACTCAACATAAGGAAATGTGCTGTAAGAGAGTGTGTATTGCTGTGTAGTGCTTGAAGAATGTCAGCGAGGATGACCACCCGATCCCATTAGTCGCCTCTTACGACAAGCATGGATTACAGTAGGCCAATTCAAACTCACATCTTTACAGGCGTTTGCAGAAGGTGAATAGTACTTTGTCTTTTGTCGCTACTGTTTTAGCTTTGGAAAGGCCATCAATGCATTACGGGGTAATTTTAACCAAAATAATAATTACCCACATATTCAGGTTAAATGTCTTGAAAATAATGGAGAGTCACTTTTATGAACATAGGCTGTTTGTATTTGCATATGTTATTACACCCCTTTCTGCAGCCACAAGGGACCATCTCCTGACAAGACGTTGATGCATGGTGAAGTGTCGTCCATTAGGGAACATATTTACCACTTTCCTGCTGTATCCAGAGTTAAGGCTGTGGAAGAAGTGACTTAATCAATGTCCTGCCTGGATGGGTGGCATGTTTTGAGCGTTACTGCAAGCACTGCAACATCTGCAGCTACTGCTCGAAACAAAATCTTTTCATGGAAATGTTTGGCAGCGTGAGCAACATGAAGTATGGCGTCAGTATCGGTTTCTTGATGACTGCAAGGGACAGGTGAGGATATATTCATTAAATGTTTTGACAGTACCAGGTTTCCACTTTTGAACAGTGACAGCTCCGTCAATAATTAAAGTGGTAACAGTTGACTCTTCTGATATTGCTGTAACAAATGTTTCTATATGTGCAAACATGTCACGTTTTGTACCAGTGCGAAAGCATCCATTTTCTGATAGGGATGGTATCTGCTTTTCATGCTGATCAGAATCATCTTCATTTCCCCACGTGACTGACGCCTAATGTACACTCTGAAAAGAGTTCTTCGTCACCCTTCATTGTTTCCAGGGGCTCCTTTCACGAAGCAACCTTTACTAAGGTTAACCTTAACTCCCATTCTTTAACAGTGCACTAAGTTGGTGATAATCACCTTAGTGCTTTGTGAAAGACACATACTCTTCTTCCCTTTTTTAATCAATCAAAGTTGAAATAATACGTGTAAGACAATACGTTTTGTTCTTTCCTTTGTGAAGGTCTCAAACTGTTCTTTTCCTCGGTCTCATTTTCACATGATGCTATGGTCCCGGGCAATGTGGAGTATAAATTTCAAAATTGCAGTATGTACGCTTCAATGATTTAAGCCACGGCAGTACTAAAAAGTAACTTTTTTGACGTTCAGAAAATACACGATGGCTTGCATGATGCAGTGATGTCCTGTAGCAACATTGGTGCTAACTTGTACATTAACCCACTGAGGAACATCAATGACCATGATGGTCCAAATTCGTCTGGCAAGACATCAGTATGATAAACCATGCCGAAGAACTGCAATGGGGAGTAGGGGTCTCGCCACCATTATCATCAGAAGAAGGCTGCGACGTCTGAGGGTACGCCGTCCGATCACACGCCCCTTCCTCACAGAGTGGAACCGGCAGAAACATCTGGTGTGGTGCAAACCCCTGTTCAAAGTGAAGGATTGAGGCATACACTATATCAGGAATGGCAGAGGAATCAGATGCTATTAATAGTGAGTGGGTTTAGTTTTGCGTCGCTTTAGCAATATCACGGCGGGGAACACAGACATGAGGGAATCAAACCAGCGTCTTCGCCGTAAAGGGGCGGTGGGGTAGCCTAGTGGTTAAAGCGTTGGCTCGTCACGCCGAAGACCCGGGTTCGATTCCCAACATGGGTGCAATGTGCAAGCCCATTTCTGATGTCTCCCGCCGTGATATTGCTGGAATATTGCTAAAAGCGGCGTAAAACCATACTCACTCACTCACTCACTCTTCGGCGTAAACTACCCCACCGCCGCTGCTATTAACATGATGCTTGATTGCCAGTACGAGGGGCAGACTGGCAGATGCTATAAGATGCTGCTACACCTGATGCTGTAGTGGTTCATACAATCACAACAAACCAGTGTTTAAAGTGCGACAATCCGATTTGTTTGGTAGTCATGGTGACCATACTTTCCAGCATTGTTGATGTTCACGTTTTTCTGTAATACCATTCTTTTCTCCTACGTAGTACTTTATAACTCCTACGTAGGACTTACTGTCTCCTACGTAGGACTTACTATCTCCTACGTAGGACTTAGTATCTCCTACGTAGTAGTGGGTATCTCCTACGTAGGACTTAGTATCTCCTAAGTAGGTATCTCCTACATAGGACATCGTATCTCTTACGTAGGGCTTAATATATCTCCTACGTAGGACTTAATATCTCCTAAGTGGGTTTCTCCTACGTAGGACATAGTATCTCTTACGCAGGGCTTAATATATCTCCTACGTTTATATGCATTAATCTGAAATGGTCGACTTAAATCCCCAGACACGCACACAATCTCCTGTTTCAGTCACTGTTAGCGTCTACAGTCATTCGTTTCATTCACTGTTAGAGTCTACAGTTATGTGTTTCATTTACTATTTACAAAGTCCATGTTTGGAAACAGTCTCTGCAACCAATCATGAACATTCTTTCACCAGTTGACCATGGTTGGAGCATATGTGATGGTCAGCTTATCCCTATTCTGATGTCGAGAGATCCTGCTCCCCATGGATTAATTGAACTGACATCGTGTAAAAGCAAAAAGTCAGCATGCCAGCAGAAAGAATGATATAGTGTGCACATAGGCATGTCTATTTGTATGGCAGATGATTGTTGCCTGAACACCTTTGACTTGTTGCAAGTAGATGACTCCGATTCTGACATGAGTGAGTGAGAGTAGTTTTACACCGCACTCAGCAATATTCCAGCTATATGGCGGTCTTCTGTAAATAATCGTGTCTGGACCAGACAACCCGGGGATCAACAGCATGAACATCAATCTGTGCAATTGGGATACGATGACGTGTCAACCCAGTCAGCGAGCCAGAAAACTAGATCCCGTTAGTCACCTCTTACGACACGCATGGGTTACTGAAGGTCAATTCTAACCCGGATCTCTACAGGTCCAATTCTGACATGAAGTAACATATGAAATGAAAGAAAGTGAAAAGGAGGATTAATTGCAAGCTTATGGATGTATCAAAAGTGATGAGGAGTTATCTGATAGAACAATTTGAATACCTAAAACCAAAGCTTAGACGTAGTTATCAGCCATGAAGCATAGTTTTCAAACACTTTTGGATAATGTTATTTCATCAAATATTTTAGGAGTGTGAAGCTTTGATTGACCCCATCATTGAAATTTAGCTCTATTCCTATAATGTATTAAACATTAGACACCATATGAGTTGTTTGGATTTCATATCAGTACAAATTTAGTCCTCCAATAAGTATATGTAGTTAAACTACAAAAGCGGCCATTTTGAATTCTGGGTAATATATAAACATTCCTAATAACATGCCGTCACTCTAAAAGGAAAGAGAAAACAAACAGAACTTGTTTTAGTAACAAAAATAATGTTAACTGCCATTAAATAAATCACTCTCACACATTTCCATGAAAAGTCGGAGAATTGCAAAAATACCCCTGACTCAAAGAATAAGCTGTAAAACATTAAATTACCACGATATGACAAACCAAATGACTTGTTTTGTGCCCAAGCCATCACTCTAGGAGAAACAAGTGTCAAAACACATAAAAAATATCAACTTTGGATGTAAATGGAAACATTCAGTGTTCATTTTTATGTAGATTGAAGTGCTGAGAAGGCAAAACACGACAAAACAAAATGGCGGCCAAAAAGGCGGCCATTTTGATTTTGTTTTCAAAACAAAATTATGTCAAATAATTTCTACATCCTTTAGCAGTACACAAAAGTCAAAATGAAAGTGATCAGATTGATAGTAGTAAGACTATTAATGATTAACTTTGAGGTGTTGTCGGGGAGCAAACCAAATGTGACGAAATGGCTCGCAGACCCCCACCACATATAATGACCTGTAAAAAAAACCTGATACCACAATCTGAGAGTATTACAGGCCTTTTCATAACCCAAGACATCATACTAACTGAAAATAGTATCAAACAAAATCAGTACTGGGGAGGCTACGATTTGAAATTTTTCAGCTGCCTCCTCCTGGACTATATTGGAGTCTAC